GGCCCATTTTTTGATTGGGTCATTTATTTTTCTGGAGTTGAGCTAGAGGAGTTGCTTGTATATTTTTGAGATTAATCCTTTGTGTGTTGCTTCGTTTGCTATTATTTTCTCCCAATCTGAGGGCTGTCTTTTCACCTTGCTTATAGTTTCCTTTGTTGTGCAAAAACTTTTAAGTTTCATTAGGTCCCATTTATTTATTTTTGCTTTTGTTTCTAATATCCTGGGATGTGGGTCATAGAGGATCCTGCTGTGATTTATGTCGGAGAGTGTTTTGCCTATGTTCTCCTCTAGGAGTTTTATAGTTTCTGGTCTTACGTTTAGATCTTTAATCCATTTTGAGTTTATTTTTGTGTATGGTGTTAGAAAGTGTTCTAGTTTCGTTCTTTTACAAGTGTTTGACCAGTTTTCCCAGCACCACTTGTTAAAGAGGTTGTCTTTTTTCCATTGTATATCCTTGCCTCATTTGTCGAAGATAAGGTGACCATAGGTTCGTGTATTTATCTCTGGGCTTTCTATTCTGTTCCATTGATCTATATTTAGTAAAGTTGAAGGATATAAAATTAACACACAGAAATCTCTTGCATTCCTATACACTAACAATGAGAAAACAGAAAGGGAAATTAAGGAAACAATACCATTCACCATTGCAACAAAAAGAATAAAATACTTAGGAGTATATCTACCTAAAAAAACAAAAGACTTATACATAGAAAACTATAAATCACTGATGAAAGAAATCAAAGAGGACACAAACAGATGGAGAAATATACCGTGTTCATGGATTGGAAGAATCAATATTGTCAAAGTGGCTATACTACCCAAAGCAATCTATAGATTCAATGCAATCCCTATCAAGCTACCAACGGTATTTTTCACAGAACTAGAACGAATAATTTCACAATTTGTATGGAAATACAAAAAACCTCGAATAGCCAAAGTAATCTTGAGAAAGAAGAATGGAACTGGAGGAATCAACCTGCCTGACTTCAGACTATACTACAAAGCCACAGTCATCAAGACAGTATGGTACTGGCACAAAGACAGAAATATAGAAATATAGATCATTCATTTAATTTTAATCCATATGTCACTTTATACTTAAAGTGAGTTTCTTATAGGCAACATATGGCTGGATCTTTTTTTTAAATCCACCTTGACAATTTCTGTGTTTCAATTGGTGCATTTAGACCCTTGACCTACAAAGTGATTATTGATTTAGCTGGATTAATAGATATCATATTTTTATTGTTTTCTATTTGTCCTTGTTAATTGTTTCTCTTTGTCTTCCACTCTTTTTCTCCTTTTTGTGGTTTTAAGCATTTTACTTGATTTGATTTTCTCTTTTCTTGGCTTATCAGTTATAATTTCCTTTATTTTTTCAGTGGTTGTCTTAGAGTTTGCAATATAAATCCAAGTCTACTTTAAATAACACTATACCATTTCACAGGTAGTGTGAAAACCTTATGATGACTAGATCCTAATTCCTTACTCTCATTCCTTCTATCACTGTCATCGTAACATTTATACACACACATAAACATACATGGTCAAATATAGTGGTTGCTGTTATTATTTTAAAGAAACTGTAATCTGTTAGATCAATTAAGAATAATAAAAATAAGTTTTAATTTTATCCTCACTTATTCTTTTCCCAGTGTTCTTTTACATAGATCCAAATTTCTGAACTCTATTATTTTTCTTCTCTTTTTATCTTTCTTGCAATGCAGAAGTACTGGCCACACATTCCCTCAATTTTTGTCTCAGAAATTCTTTTTTCTTCACTTAAAATTTTTAAAAATTATTTTTGGCTACAGTGGCTCTTTGTTGCTGTGTGGGCTTGGCTCCAGTTGCAGCGAGTGGGGTTACACTATGGTTGCATTGCGCAGGCTTCTCATTGTGGCGGCTTCTCTAGCTGCAGGCTCAAGGGCACCCGGGCTTCAGTAGCTGCGGCTCCTGGGCTGTAGGGCATAGGCTCAGTAGTTGCAGCACACAGGTTCAGCTGCTCCGTGGCCTGTGGGATCTTCCTGGTTCAGGAATAGAGCCCATGTCTCCTACATTGGCAGGAGGGTTCTTTACCAGTGAGCCACCAGAGAAGCACTCTCTTTCACTTTTGAAGGATTTCATAGGGTACACAATTCTAGGCTGATGGTTCTTTCTCTCAATGCTATATTTATTCCACTCTCCCTGTTTCCATAGTTTTTAAGAAGTTTAATGTATTTCTTATCTTTGATCCTTCATGGTAAGGTGTTTTTCCCTCTGACTACTTTCTGGGTTTTTAAATTTTCTTCATCTTTGATTTTCTGCAGCTTAAAAGCAATATGCCTGTGTATAGTTTTTTGGGGGTCATTTATCCTCCTTGATGTTCTCTGCACTTCTGAGATCTCTGGTTTGGTGTCTGACATTAATTTGGAGAAATTCTTAGTCACTGTTTCAAATATTTATTGTTCCTTTCTTTCCTCTTTCCGGTTTCCCATTAAACACATATAGCAACTTTTGTGGTTGTCCCACAGTCCTTGCATATTCTGTTCTGTTTTTCTAGTTCTTGCTCTCTTAGATTTTCAGTTTTGGAAGTTTCTATTGAGATATCCTCAAGCTCAGAGGTTCTTTCCTTAGCCATGTCTAGTCTTTTAACAAGCCCATCAGTCTTCATTTCTGTACAGTGCATGCTGTGTCTCTTCTGTGTTTTTTTCCTTTTAGTATGTCTTGTAGCTTTTCCTGATAGCCAGGCATGATGTATTGGGTAAAAGGAACTTCTGTAAACAGGCCTTTAGCAATGTGTTGGTGAGGTGGGGGTGGGGGAAGGGAGAATATTCTATAGTCTTATGATGAGGTCTCAGCCTTTTAGAGACTCTGTGCCTCTGGACTGCAGACTTAAGTCTTAGTTTTCTGCCCTCTTAGGTGGAACAGAATGACTGGAGTGGACTAGAGTTGGGTATTTCCTTTCCTCCAGGTCAGTCAGCCTCTGGTTACTCTCTGCTAATACCAGAGTGGGATTCCCAGGTGGCTCAGTGGTGAAGAATCTGCATGCCATTGCAGAAGGAGGAGGTTTGATCCCTCGGTTGGGAATGGGAACTGGGAACCCACTCCAGTATTCTTGCCTGGGAAAGCCCATGGACAGAGGAGCCAGGCGGGCTACACAGTCCACGGGGTTGCAGAGGACACAGTAAGCACACATGAACACAGTGATACTCCAGCAGGTTAGGCACTGGTTAACTAGTCTCCCCTGAAGGCAGACCTTGTTAAGAGAACAGAATGCGCTGGCATATTTCAAAAGGGTTTTTTTTTTTTCCCCTGCCCTTGGAAGCACCAGGGGATTTTTCTTTAGTATTTATTGGGGGAATCTGGTCAAGGTCCTGGAGGTAAATCTCAAACATTGGGGGCCCTCCTATGACTGGGTTCCCCTAGAATTTTTTAATTTTCAGAGTAGTCTGAGCAACCAGCAATTCATCAGTTATAGTTCTGATTTTTCTTTCAGTGGGGCTTCCTGGTGCCTCAGTGGTAAAGAATCTGCCTGCCATGCAGAAGGCTCAGGTTCAATCCTGGGTTGGGAAGGTCCCCTGGAGAAGGGAATGGCAACTGACTTTAGTATTCTTGCCTGGAGAATCCCATGGACAGAGGAGCCTGGTGGGCTACAGCCCATGGGTGGCCAAGAGTTGGACACAACTGAGTGACTAACAGGCAGGCACTGGTCCCCATGGGGAGTTCCCATTATGAGTCTCTGCTCTGGTAAACTGTCATTCTCTGTATTCTGTTCGTCTCTCCAACGCTGATTATTCAGTCTGTTCAGCTTTTTACTTGTTAGAATGGCCTCATGGCTTCCAAGCTTCTTACATGCTGGACTGGAAACTGGAAGTCTTTAAAAAAAAAAAAGAAATTAGGACAAGACACTAAGGTTAAAAGTTGGATTTGTATCATATCTGTAGGTAAGCAGAGTTATCACTCTTAAATATTTCTAGGAAAGATAAAAGCTTACCTATATAAAAAAATAAAATATCAAGAAGTTGAAACACAAATCCCTACATTGTTCTGTTAGTGGTAGTTTCTTAGTAAGAAGCCTTTCTTAAATCTTTCTTGTCAGGCGAGTGTATGCTCCTTGGTTCTTTGTCTCATCACAACAAAAATCTGGAGTGACGGACATTAAAGCCCCCTCGGTGGGTCACAGCTCTCGGGTCTTGGACAGACCAGTGTTATAGCTCTTAAATAAATCAGTGTCACAGCTCAGTGTCACAGCTCTATTTATTTAGATAATAGCGGGAAAATCCATCTTCGAGGCGTGAGGGCACGTTGATCCAAAGACGCGAAGAGAAGAGCGCCCCATCGTGCAGGAGAGAGGGAGAGAAGAGGGCTTTGGCTCCTCTATTTATAAGTCTCTCTGTCCCTGGGCCTGTCTTATGTACATTGGGCCAGCCAGGAGTGCTGTTTATTTTACCTGAGGTTCTCTCCGGTCCTCGGACCTTCCTTTTTTCTATTTTCGCAGGCTTTTCCCTTCCGGGTCTTTTAGCCACCACCATTCTGGACTCCTTTTCCCTATTCTAACTACCTAACATTCTGAAGGCTGTTAATTTGTATTTCTATGTGACTTTGATAGTGTTTACTTTTCTTATTGCCCTATCCTGATTTCTTTTCCCACACTGTTAAATGGATCCACTTAAAGGAAAGACACCTGGATTTACTTGAAAAGAGAAAAGTTATTAGAATATTTTAATGTAAATCTCATTTCATTGAGAAACTACAAATGGGATGAATGCTTGCTAATTTCCACTTTAATTTTGTTGATTAAAAATCCAAATCCCTCGAAATACATTGTTTACCAATACTTTTAAAGTTCAAAATCTAAATAGAGATCCTTTTAATCAATTAACAGTCTCTTATATGTGTATATGTGTCGTGCATTGAGAAAATAGGAGATGGCTTATTTTTTATTTGAAAGTGGAAATTTTGGCTTCCAGCCTGCCATGTCGCGTCCCCTGGTGGCATCCAGATTGCGAGTCTCGCGGGGGCTACGCCTGGTCATTCGTGTCTGCAGCCAGCTGTGCAATTAGGTCTCTGGCATCCTGCATGATGGAAGGTATCTCTGAGCCGCTCTCAGTCACCTGGGTTCCGAACAAGAACATCTTCCTGTCATTTCCCACCTCAGATAATGCCAGAGCTTCATGGATATCTGTAATGTGATAGGCTGCTTCAAGATCCTTCACAAGAATGGAAAAAGAATTGAGAAAAAGTTGGTTATTTTGCAACATTTTTGGATAGATACATTTATTACTCTCAATGATCACACCTCCATTATAATATCGAGGATGTTGTAATCCCATTACTAGGATCCTAAAGGCTGTTTGAATATAAAGATTTTCATCGGAATTATATCAGCATTTATGAGTTATTATCAAAAGAGTATTTTCTGGAACAAAGTTAAGCCAATATGATACCTTAATCAATTTCCTAACCAGTGCGATCCGCTTCTAGTTGTGTTTTTCCATTTTTGTCTGAATTTTCCCAAGACTTATTTTTTTAACTTTTTAAAATAACTTAATTAATAATGTGTTTATTGTTGGCTGTGCTGGGTCTCTGTTGCTGCATGGGCGTTTCTCTCCTTGTGAGCGGGGGCTATTCTCCAGTTGCGGTGCTTGGGCTTCTCATCGTGGTGGCTTCTTCTATTGCAGAGCACGGCCTCTAGGGCTCGGGCTTCAGGAGTTGCAGCGCAAGGGCTCAGAAATGGCAGTTCCCTGGCTCTAGCGCACCGGCTCAACAGCTGTGGCTTAGCGGCTCTGCGACATGTGGGATCTTGCCGGATCAGGGATCGAACCTGTGTCTCCTGCATTGGCAGGCAGATTCTATTCCACTGAAGAATCAGGGAAGCCCTCCAAGGTTATTTTTAATTTGTCTTTACAACAGAAGCTTGATTCATTAATTGGTTTTTGCCCATATAATATTTTATTGATTATAGCATTTGCCAAGTGTGAGTTTTCTTTTGCAAAAATTATTTCTGCTGAACAAAAAGTTTTACATCAAATTTGGGGGGATGGAGGGAGATAGAGAAGGGATCAGGGATGGGATAAATTTAGAAAATGGCGTAGTAGGTGAAGAAGGCTGAGAGGCAAGGGCCAGGTGGAGGGAAAGAGGATGAGATGGAGAATGGGGAAGGCTTAAAGGAGGAAAACCCATCCGAAGAGGCAGAGAGGGGAGAGATTAAAACGAGGAGACAAAAAGCATGTGTTTATGCTGCATGCGAAGATCGAAACATGTTTCTTTGCCTCTCACACATCAATAATTATTTATGGCAAATAACCTCTGATATTCCCTCTCCTAAATACATATGCAGATTTAGTTTCAGTTTTTAAGTCTTCTGCAAAAGTTCCAGCATTTTCACTCTTAACATTGAATTTGTAATTGGCTTTTTGTTTCATGGTGCTCTCCCAAAGCTTTAGGGCATCATCTGAAAAGAGTACAATATTGTCATTTCCTCTTGTACCAATATGAACCTATCAAATTCTTGTGAGTCTGTGAGGTTTTCTTCACATGGTATCATTACCTTTTCTGGTTCTTCCATTTTATTGCCTATCTGAAACCTGAATTTCAGGTCTTAGAGCATGTAGTGAATTTTGCAATTGTGTTAATGAATCTAGTAACATGTGGACAATGTCTCAAGTTAAAAGAAATGCCACCAGTCAAATTGGAGAGGAGGAAAATAGAAGGGTTCTGGAAGGAAGGAGGGGCTCCTTGTAATGATAAAAGAACATCAGGGATAAATATGTGTACTCCACACTCACATAATTGTGCCCTAATAGATGTCATCACTCAAAGAATAACGATAGTAAGATGACTCTTAAAAAATATTTATGTAATAACTTGAAACAATGAGTCATCTAAAAGCTTAAGTTACTTTGATCAAGAAGTAATAACCAAGGTGACCTTAAACTAGAATGTGTGTTAGCTGCTCAGTTGTGTCCAACTCTTTGTGACCCCAGAGACTGTGTCCCACCAGGCTCCTCTGTCCATGGAATTCTCTAGGCAAGAATACTGGAGTGGGTTGCTATTCCCTTCTCCAGGGGATCTTCCGGATTCAGGGATTGAACCCAGGTCTCCTGCATTGCAGGCAGATTCTTTAATGTCTGAGAATATCCAAACATTTTATTATTAAACCCCAGTAAAAGTTATAAATTTGACACCAAATGGTCCTGTTTATTCAATTTGATGAAGAGATATAAACCACAAAGGAAAGTATCGATAAATTGGACTATTAAAAATGAAAACCTGTGTATTAAAAAGAGAACCATAACAAAGTAAAATGTTAACAATAGGTTGCTGCTGCTGCTAAGTTGCTTCAGTCGTGTCCGACTCTGTGCGACCCCATAGATGGCAGCCCACCAGGCTCCCCCATCCCTGGGATTCTCCAGGCAAGAACACTGGAGTGGGTTGCCATTGCCTTCTCCAATGCATAAAAGTGAAAAGTGAAAGTGAATTCGCTCAGTCGTGTCTGACTCTTAGCGACCCCATGGACTGCAGCCCACCAGGCTCCTCTGTCCATGTGATTTTCCAGGCAAGAGTACTGGAGTGGGGTGCCATTGCCAACCACAATAGGTTGCTAGAGAAGATATTTGTAATGTATCTAACAGAAATAGGACTATTTTTCCAAAAGATATGAAAGACTCAAAAAAAAAAAAAAGAAAGAAAGACTCCTACAACTCAAACGAGAAAAGATAAACACCCCAATAGGAATTTGGGGAAAGATATTAAAAGCTAATTCACAGATATGGAAATTTGCTTCAAAGAAATGAAACTAATTTGAAACTAATAACCAGTGAACATCTGAAAAAAATGTTCAGGCTCACTAGTAATTAAGGAAATGCAAATTAGAATAATAAGATAAAATTTCATTCTCATGAGACTGGCAAAAATGAAAGTTTGATAAACCAAGTATTAACAAGGGTGTAGTGTTATAAAACCTGTCATATACTGCTGGTAGGAAGAATAAATTGGTTCAATATCTTTGGAAAGCAACTCGGTAATATATAGTAAAACTGAATACATGAAAGAAAAGTGAAAGGTGCTCAATCACGTCTGACTCTTTGTGACCCCAGGGACTATACAGTCCTTGGAATTTTCCAGGCTAGAATACTGAAGTGGGTAGCCTTTCCCTTCTCCAGGGGATCTTCCCAACCCAGGGATCGAACCCAGGTCTCCTGCATTACAGGCGGATTCTTTACCAGCTGAGCCACAAGGTACAAATCCCCAAACCCAGCAGTTCCTCACGCACTAGAGAACTGTTGGTACACATCTATGAAAAGACACATACATGAGGATTCACTATAGAACTCTTTACAACAATGAAAAATTGGAAATAACCCAAATGCCCAATAAGAAAATGGTAAAGTGGTGGTATATTCATGCAATGCAATACTATACAGCTCACTTACATTTACCATGATCTTCTAAATCTTCATAGTTTGTGTTACTTAAGATGCTCACTGAAAAAAAAAAAAACTCCAAGCTTTTTAAAAAAATAATCTGCTGGACTAGCATTTATGCTGGACTTTAATATAGGCTCCTACTTTTAGATCATCATTATAATGATTTATTTTACTTCCATAAACACTCACTCATAGGAGTGGGAGAAAGGGTAGGAACTGAGCTCTCTTATGACTGATAAGCCTGGCAATTGAGAGAGAGGCTACAGCATTACAAGCACACTTCAGAGATACTGCAAATTGGGTTCCAGACTACTGTGATAAAGTGAATACCGCAATAAAGTGAGTCACATGAATTTTTTTTGTCTATTGGTGCATAGAAAAGTTACTTTAACACTACTGTAACCTATTAAGTGTGTGATAGCATTATGTCTAAAAATATGTACATACCTTAATTTAAAAATACCTTATTGCTAAAAAATGCTAACCATCATCCAAGGCTTCAGCAAGTCATAATCTTTTTACAATAGTAACATCAAAGATCACTGATCAGAGATCATCATAACAAATATAATAATTCTAGAAGTTGGAAATATTGCAAGAATTCCCAAAAGGCCACACATAAAGTGAGAAAAGCAGCTGGGAAGTGGCACCTATAGACCTGCTCCATGCAGGGTTGCCAGAAACCTTCAATTTGTAAAAAATCCCAATATCTGCAAAGCACGGCAAAGTGAAGTGCGATAAAATTATGTCTGCCTGCACAATGCTATAGATGTCTAATGTTTTTTAAAAATTTCTTTTTATTGTAGTAAGATACACATAACAAAAATTTCCATATTAGCCATTTTGAAGTGTACAGTTTGGTGTACACTAAAGTAAATTCACATTATTGTACACCATCTTCAGAGCTCTTCAACTTGTAAAACTGACACTCTGCACCCATTAAACAATAGCTTCCCATTTCTCCCTCCCCCAGCCCTTGGCAACTACTATTTTTTGTCTCTCTGACTTTAACTGCTCAGTGCTGAGTCGCTCAGTCTTGTCCGACTCTGCGACCCCATGGACTGTAGCCTGCCAGGCTCCTCTGTCCATGGGGATTTTCCAGGCAAGAATATTGGACTGGGTTGCCAGGCCCTCCTCCAGGGGATCTTCCCAACCCAGGGATTGAACCCAGGTCTCCCACATTTCAGGTGGATTCTTTACCAGCTGAACCACCAGGGAAGCCCTTAACTGCTCTAGGGGACCTCATAAAAGTGTAATCATACAGTATTTGTCCTTTCGTGACTGGCTTATTTCACTTAGCATAATGTCCTTAAAGTTGACCCATGGTGTAGCATGTGTCAGAATTTCCCGACACATTTAAGGCTGAATAATATCCACTGTACGTATACACCACATTTTGTTTATCCATTCACGTGTGGATGGACACTTAGGTTGCTTCTACCTTTTGGCTACTGGGAATAATTCTGCTATGAGCATGGGTGTGCAAACATCTGTCTGAGTTCCTGCTTTCAATTCCGTTGGTAATATACCCAGAAGTGGAACTGCTGGACTATATGAAAATTCTATTTTTAATTTCTTAAGGAACTGCCATACTGTTTTTCATAGCGGCTGCACCATTTGACATCCCCAGCAACACTGCACAAGGCTTCCATTTCTTCATGAGTGTTTAATACTTGAATGCATGTGTGTGAAATTCAGGTCAGGCTAGCTAATCTAAAACTACTCCTGTATACTGACACTTGGTATGTGTGCGTGTGTGTGTTAGTTGATTAGTCACGTCCGACTCTTTGCGACCCCATGGACTGTAGCCTGCCATGCTCCTCTATCCATGGGATTCTCCAGACAAGAATACTGGAATGGGTTGCCATTCCCTTCTCCAGGGGATCTTCCCGATCCAGGGATCAAACCCACGTCTCTCAGATTCTTTACCATCTGAGCCACCAGGGAAGCCCATGGTACATAGTAAGCATACAAAGATTTTGTTGAAATCAATTCAACAGTCAGTAAATGTTTATTTAATTAAACTTAACAGATATTCATTGAATCTGTACTAATTACAAGGTGGTATACTAGGTTTCACATAGGACACAAAGGTGAATGACAGTCTCTGTTCTGAGGGAATTTACAGCTGTGGGCTTTTCTGGTGGCTCAGTCAGTAAAGAATCTGCCTGCAATGCGGGAGACCTGGGTTCCATCCCTGGGTTGGGAAGATCCCCTGGAGAACGGAATGGCAATCCACTCCAGTGTTCTTGCCTGGAGAATTCCATGGACATAAGATCTTGGCAGGCTACAGTCTACAGGGTCAAAAAGCGTTCAGACACGACTGAGCGACTAACACGTTCACTTTTACTTGGTATCTGTGGGGGGATTAGTTGCAGGACCCTAGAAGACATCAGAATCTGCTCAAGTCCCTTATATAAAATGGTGTCATTTTTGCAAATAACCTATGCACATCCTCTCTTATACTTTAATCATGTCTAGACTACTTATAATATCTAATACAAGGTAAATGCTATGAAAATAGTTGCCCACATGTGGCAAACAGGAGTTTTACTTTCTGGAACTTTATGGAATTTTTTTTCCCCCTGATCCATGGCTGGTTGAATCACAGATAAGGAGAGCTGACTGTATACACAGTAGACCTAATAGTATAAATTGAAATGAAAATACAGCATATTATTGAATATTTAGCTCTTAAAAGCAGACATTTCTTTGGGTCATCTGTAGAGATGTGGATGGACCCAGAGTCTGTCATACAGAGTAAAGTGAATCAGAAAGAGAAAAACATCGTATATTAACACATACATGTGGAATCTGGAAAAATGGTACAGATGAATCTATTTCCAAGGCAGGAATAGAGAGTCAGAGGAAGAAAGTGACTTGTGGACATAGAGGAGAGCATGGGATGAATTGGGTGATTAGGACTGACATATATACATTACCAGGCTTCCCAGGTGGCTCACGGGTAAAGAATCTACCTGCCAATGCAGGAAACGTGGGTTCAGTCCGTGGGTGGGTACGATCCCCTGGAGAAGGACATGGCAACCTGCTCCAGTATTCTTGCCTGGGAAATCCCATCAGAAGAGTCTGGCAAGCTACAACAGTCCATGGCGTAGCACAAGAGTAGGACACGATTTACTGACTAAAGGATAACAAACATACACTACTATGTGCAAAATAGATAGCTAATGGGAACCCGCTATAAAGCGCCGGAAGCTCAACTCAGCGCTCTGTGATGACCTAGAGGGGTGGGATGGGGGTGGGAGGGAAGCCCAAGAGGGAGGGCATATCTGCGTATTAGGACTGATTCACTTCTGTTAGCAGAAACTAACACAGCATTGTAAAACAATTATACCCCAATTTAAAAAAATAAAATTTTAAAAATAAGTTAAAAAGATCAAATTCAAAAAGTAAACATTTCTATTTACCGCATTAATAAAAAATATATTGAGTACACTTTATATTTGCACAGATTTTTACCTGTTTGTTTGCAAACACAACCAGAGGAAGGACTGGGTTTGTTCCAATTAGTTGATGAAGGTATTTCTTGGCTTCAGGTAATCTTTTGTGATCTGCTGAATCCACCACAAATACCAGCAGCAAGCCCTTGGACAGGTACATTTCCCAATAGCAACGGAAAGGTTCGCTGCCGCCAACTACAAAGGAAAGCAAAGGAAGACACGAACACACAGATCTCAGAAGCGTCCATCGAGGCAGCCAGGTAAGGCACATTTTGATAATTTCTGAACACTGGCAGGTCTTCTGATAAAAGACCTCTGTGAGACTAGACCCAATTCTGAGAACAACCAGAGCGATGTTTCTGGGGAAATGATTGGTGGGGATATTTACAAGCGGTTCGTTAAGTTCTGGAACACAAAGGACCGGCATGGTGGTAATTTAGTCACGAAGTCGGGTCTGACTCTTGCGACCCCGTGTACTGTAGCCTGCCAGGCTCCTCTGTCCATGGGATTTCCCAAGCAAGAATACTGGAGTGGGTTGCCGTTTCCTTCTCCAGGGGATCTTTCCAACCCAGGGATCAAACTCAGGTGTCCTACATTGCAAATCTGCACCACAGTGGACGCCTCTTGATCTGTTATACGGAGCAGTCATGACAGCCTGTGCATGTCTATCAAGTATGGATCAGTAGACGGGAGTAGTCCACTGAAAGAATTCAGGGTGGTGGGTTTCTCTAAAATGTCTTAAGTGGACTGATTTAAATGTCATTGGCTACCCTCTCTTGCACAACTTTTTTCCTTTCTCAAAACCCCAAATCTAATTTCCTTTCTTTCATCTTGCACTGAAAGTTAATATGATCCTGTGGGTATTCAAGAATACTTGCCTCAGAAAAAAAATGTCTTCGGGTTATTTTGTTCTGCTGATGCTTCCCAGAAAAAACTTCTTGGAATCATAATAATACAGTGAATTCAGTTTTTATTTTTCTCCTGGGACAGACGTTGACAAACGATGGCCCACAGTCTAAACCTGACTCACTGCCTGTTTTTGTACTGCCCATGAACAAAAAATGGATTTTACATTTTTAAACATTTGGGGGGAAAAAGAATACCACTTTATAACACATGAACATTATATCACAGTTGGATTTCAGTACAAGCCAAGTTGTGCAGGTTTGTTCACACAGGGTCTTGGCTTGCTTTCTCAGTATTGAGTAGGATCACAGAGATCATGTGGCCACAGAGTCTATATGATCTACTCTGGAGCCCTTTGCAGAAAAAGTATGCAGACCACTGTTATGGGCAGTTAACAAAAACATTTCAAAAACTAATAGGAAGGGGTCTTTATTTGCCTTTCCTTTGTTTTCCTTTGTACAGAGAGCCAGGCTGGTCATTCTTCAAAGTATTTTGTATTTTAATTTTTTTAAAAGAATGTAATCTAAGTAATTCATATGGCTTTAATGTACGAGCTTAAACAGGCATGTTGTTTCCCATCTTTTTTGCCAACACCATGACATTTCACCTATAATAGGAATTGTTCTTTTAGTTATTAACTTCTTTTAAAAAAAATATTAATTGGGGAGGGTGCAGGACTGGAAAAAAAATTATTCATTTACTTTTTATTGTTGGCTGCATCAGGTCTCAACTGTGGCGTGGGAATCTCAACTGTGCTGCACAGGCTGCGCTCCAGCGGCCGAGCGAGGGCCCCAGAGCCTGGGCTGAGCAGCTGTGGCTCATGGGCCCTGTTGTCCCGCGGCATGGGGGATCTTACTTCCCCGACCGAGGATCCAACCCATATCTCCTGTATTGGAAGGTGGATTCTTAACCACTGGACCACCAGGGAAGTCCCTAGATATTAACTTCTAATTTAATGGTAAAATAGTTAGAGAACACGGTTCATATGATGCCTCTTTGAAAACTCCATTAAGACTTGCTGTATGGCCCAGGAAGTGGTCCATGTTTGGTTACTGGTCCATGGGTATTTGAGAAGAATGTGAATTTTAACTTTCTGATGAAGCTAAAATTGTCTAATTGGACAATTTTATATTGTTCATTAGATCAAATTGGTTGACTGTGTTCAAACATTATATACTCTCTGAAGTTTTTTCCTGCCTAATTCCATTAATAATTGACAAACATATGTTGAAACTCCTCACTCCGACAGATCTGTCCATTTTCCCCCTTAATTGGAATCTTTTCTTTTTTCTTCCTATCTTCCTTTCTTTCTTTTTTATTCTCTTTCCTTTCCTTCCCACACCCCAACCCTTGCCCTTTTTCACTTTTTATATTCTGAGACTCTTTTCTTAGCCATCTCTTTCATTAAAAATATTATTTCTTCTATAGCTTCTGAGAAATTGAAATCTCTATTCCTAATAATGCTTTTATCAGAAAGATTCGCCTTCAGCTTTAACAGTTTCTCTGCCCACCATTTTCTCTTCACAACTGGATGAAAACAAAAATTCATAGCATTTTCCTTGCATACTGGAGGTGGGGGCACAGAAAATGCCTGGTCCTCTGGCTTGAGCATCCTGATGGGTGAGGAGACATTTCCGACCAGAGGATTATAGGGACAGGAACAGATATGGAGCTTTATCAAACATTGGCTTGGACAATGTTAGGTTTGAGAGGCCATTGAAACAGCCGGGTAGAGATGTCAGGTGACATTTGGGTATGTTTGGCTGGATAGATAAATTTCGGAGAGTGTACAGAGAAGATAAGAGGATCTGACACAACTTTGGAAAATAGCAATATTCTGAGAGGCAGTGACTCCAGAATTACCATAGAGTAGGGGCTTCTGGGTTGTGATCTGATTACAAGAGTATATATGTTGTAATCTGGTCATAACAGGTTTGTGAATATTTGCATTTTTGAGAAGGAAGCACACTATATTACCTAGATTGGATTTTTATGGGGGGGTAGTAAGGAGGAGGGAGGCTGTTAAAGGAGAGGGTGCTAAAGCCTTCCTCTCAACTCCCTTTTATCACCAGCACTGAAAAAAGGAGAAAATAAAAAGAGCAGAAAGCGATTTTACCCACATTGCACCCTAGCATTCATCTACATATGCTTTCTGACAGTCTAGGAAAATCTGACCCAGGGTTTCATTTCATAAGGACCTATCATCCATTTCATATTCACTTTATCATTCATTTCACAAGGACCCATGTGATGCTGACAACATCGCATCTGGCTTAACATCTGACAATCATGTGGCTATACAAGCTATTAGCTACCCCCAGAACCACTGAGAAAGAGCGCTTACTCTCCAGGAACTCCATCTGGTGGTCCTGGGTGCTGATGCACACTGCATTGAAACCTTGGGTGGGGGCCACACTGCGCTGGACTCGGTTTAAAGCAAGAAAGTGGAGAATACTGGTCTTTCCTGCCCCATCCAGGCCCAGCACTAGGATCTGCTTATTTTTCTCCTGTGAAACAAAAGATAAGGCAATAAAGCTATGCTATCAGGGCCTTGTTTTCTTGGCTTTGGGAAGTGCGCTTGCCAGTATTTGTGAAATTGTAAACCAGAATAAAACTTTGCAAAAAAATTCAATAGGTCTAGAACAAACTGTACTAGTCAGTTTGTATTTTCTATAATCAGTCATTACTTATGTGATATTAACTGCATACCCCCTCTTTATCTTCCAACTCCTGGTCAATTTATCAAATAAATACTTCATGTATATCAGGACTTACAGGAGGTGCCATATTTTCAGGGCCAATTTTCACACTTCACTTGGCTTCCCTAGTTCATATCCATTGGAGACTGCACGAAAATTCAATTTGTTGTTTGGGGTCTTGGGACCTTCTTGGTCTATGCATTGACTCTGCCACTTGGCATGTAAGCATCTAAGGTCTCATGTTATTAATCTGTTTTGTCTCCCCAAATTGAATCATAGATTAAAAGTTCTGAGGGCAAGGTTACTCTCTTCTGTACTTTTTAATATAAATATTATTAAATAAAAAGGCAAAACTATAAAAATTGTTAAACTAGTTACAATCATATTAAAATCTCATGCTAAAACCTGAACTAGATGTAAACTTTAGGAAGAAGTATTCCACCAGCATACCAGCCTTAGAAATTTTTATGACAAGTGTTTGAGGGACAAGAAGGACAGACTGGTATGAAGAGAGAAACAGAAAGCTCAGAGTGCTTAGAAAGGTGGCTTTTAGTGTACAAACTTCAATATAAACAGTAATAAATGAGCAACCCAGTCAGACTGTTCATAGGAATTCTATTTCTCAAACAGCTTACCAAAGAAGTTTCTCATATATGGAAGAAGAAAAAAAAAAAAACTCAAGAGCATTGGTTTAAAAATAAAAATCTTACACATGTCTGCTTCAACACCAAATGTTGACATTAGACACAGACTGCATGCTAAGTCATGCCAGTCACGTCTGACTCTTTGTGACCCCATGGACTGTAGCCCGCCAGGCTCCTCTGTCCATGGGATTCTCCAGACAAGAATACTGGAGTAGGTTGCCATTTCTTTCTCCAGGGGATCTTCCTGACCCAGGGATCGAACCCAGGTCTCCCACATTGCAGGTAGATTCTTTACCATCTGAGCCACCAGGGAAGCCTTAGACTTAGACTAGATTTCTGTTACAAAAAAGTGATCCTCAACAGCACTATACGTCTATCCCATGTCCCTCCTCTCTGTAATATAGAAGATCTGTGTAAAAATAAGGTGTTTTAAGGTCTGCTGTAATAGAGACTCATATACAGGGAATCATTTATGAAACCTGTCTAGTGAGTGACAGAATTTTTAAAAGTAAGTGTTTGTTACTGGAGTGAATTCTTGACGGCTCTTAAAGCAAATGGTATGTAAAGTAATTAGCCTCCAACTAATAAAAATAAATGAAAAAAAATAAATAAATAAAGTTTGCATTTTTCTACTATAAAAAAAAAAATAAAGCAAATGGTACTTCCATAGGTTTCCTATATCCATCTCCACTTCTCCATTCTCTTCCATCTGCCTCTAAATGTTACAGTGTCATTCTCAGAGAGTCATGGTAAGGAAAAGGGACTAGATGCTGCTCTAAGGGGATGTCACTGGATGGTTTTAAATGAATGCTTTAAAGCAATGGTGACCAAGAAATGGCTGCAAGATGTAGACTGTGTCACCCCATTATCTCCACCAATGGCCCCACACTCGGATTACCCCAACATATTTTATCAGTTCCAAGATTTCTTTTTTTTACATTTTAACATCTCTGAAATGAGGTCTTTACAATCTACAGTATGTCATATTTTGGCTGGAAGCATTTTTTTCCCCCCTTTCTCTGTGGTACCTAAAATAATGGCATCTTGGATCTTAAGAATTTTGTGAATAAAAACCGTTTCCTACTCCCTTTCCAATCACATCGCTGCCACTAACCTGACCCTATTTAGAAATTCTGTAGTCACTGATGCTTTACATTTTGCTTACTTTTTAGCCTAAAATACAAGCTTCTTCATGTTTATAATCTCTTAAGAAAAGCTGGGGTTACTGTAAACACTGAAATGTGATTCAACACCACTGTTACTTATTAAAAGTTATTCCTTTAACTATAAGTGAATCTATATAGTGTGTTTTGTGTTCATCTCAAAGTTGTGCCCAACTCTTTGCAATCCCATGGACTGTAGCACACCAGACATCCCTGTCCTTCACTATCTCCGAGTTTGCTCTAACACGTCCATTGAGTTGGTGATGCTATATAACCATCTCATCCTATGCTGACTTCTTTTGCCTTCAATCGTTCCCAGCATCAGGGTCTTTTCCACTGAGTCGGCTCTTCACATCTGGTGGCTAAAGTAATGTAGCTTCAGCTTCAGCATCAATCCTTCCAACGAATATTCAGGGTTGATTTCCTTTAGGATTGACTGGTTTGATCTCCTTGCAGTCCAAGGGACTCTTATAAGGCTTCTCCAACACCACAGTTTGAAAGCATCAATTCTTTGGCTATTTCACCAGAGATCAAATCTCTGTTAATAATTCATGTTGTTTAGAACCAGAAAGCAGCTCTGAGCCCAGGAACTCCAGGAGTACAGAGCCCACTAAGTCGAGCCAAATAATGCTTATTTTTTTTCCTTCTCTCCCAATTTTTAAATTGTGGTAAAGTACACAACAAAAAAGGCTTCCCAGGTGGTGCTAGTAAGAAAGGACCCACCTGCCAATGTAGGAGATATAAGAGATGTGGGGTCCATCCCTGGATCAGGAAGATGCCCTGGAGAAGAGCATGGCAATCCACTCCAGTATTCTTGCCTGGAGAATAGAGGAGCCTGGCAGGAAACCATCCACGGATCACAGACCGTCGTACACAACACAAAATTTACCATCTTAACCATTTTTAAACCCAGAGTGATATCGACTTCATTCATAATACCATGCAACCATCACCACTACCCATAACTATTCATCTTGTAAAACAAACTGTACTCATTAAACTCCTCACCCCCCCAGCCCCCAGGCCCCAACATTCTGCTCTTTGACTCTGATTCTGAATACAGGAGGTAAATCATCTAAGTAGAATCATTCATATCTATCCTTTTATGACTACAAAGGCTGGTTTCTGAGGCCTCTCAGAAACCTTTGTGACCCTTTCTCTGGGTGCTGGTGGTCTGAAAATAATGTAAGTAATAGTAACCAGAGCACCCACAGAAAAGGTCCAGGCACTCCCCAAACACGTCCTGCACAAATTCAAGAAACCTACACCTTCACACACACACACACAAAACAGAAAAGACTGGAACAGAGAGAACATGTGTGGTGGGAGTCTGGGGGCTAGTGTTCGGCGCTGGCCAGAGATGGGGCTGGAAAAAAGGCTGTTACCGGCACCCGCTGTGAACATCATCAAGGTGTCTTATTCAACACTAGACCTGGACGCAGGGTCGGGTTAGGGGTGAGTGGGCGAGCGGCTGGGGAGAAGGGGCTCGCGATGGGTCGTTCGAAGCTTGGCACATTCCGGTTCCATCGCGGATACAAAACCGGCAAACAGACCGGATTCCTTCCGGCGCGAGCCCACCCGGGGTCTCGCACGTAACAGAGCGGCGAAACCCTGGACAATGGCCTCGGGTGAGGGTCCTAGGCAGCGGTCTCTTACCAGCGGCGCCAGCGGGATTTTTATCAACGTGCTGTTGTCCTTGTCTTTCTCTTCTTTTTCCTTGAATTGCTGCTTCTCTTTCTCCGTCTCCCGCTCTTGCCTCTTTTCATCCTCATTTCTCTTACTTTTCTCCCCCTTCCTGTTCGCCTTCTCCTTAATTTTCTCCTCCTTCCCCCCTTTTCTCTCCTTCCCGTTCACCTCCTTAATTTTCTCCTCCTTCCCCTTTTCTTTTTTCTCCTTCCCGTTCTTTTCCTTAATCTTCTCCTCCTTCCCCTTTTCGTTCTCCTTGATTTTCTCCTTCACCTTCTTTTTGTTTTTCTCCTCCTTTCCTTTTTGCTGAGTTTTCTCTTTCTCCGGCTCCTTCCCCTTTTCCCTCTTTACTTCCCCCACCTCCATCCCCACCCCCCTTCCCTCCCCCCGCGCGCCCGCGCGCTGGAGCTGCCGGGCGGGGTCCCGGCAGGAGTGGTCGCCGCTGTGGGGGCAGCTCCGGGGAGACGTAGGTCCACGTGGCGAACAAGGCCCCGCGGTAACCGCCAGCCCCTCCCCACCCCAGGGCCCCGGGCTGCGGCGTGGGCATCTTGCGCTCGCCCGCCAGCCCGCGGTGTGGAGCTAGAGGGGCGAGCCCACGCCAGGGGACCTGGGAGACCCGGCCGCGGGAGCTGGGAAAGACCGGTGGAGCAGGAAAAGCGTCCCCAGGTATCGCTTCCTCGGAAGAGCGCCACGGCGAGATGCGCTCGGGCTGGGTAGGGTGTCTCAGAAAGGCGTTTCTCGCCCACCCATCTCAGCCTCTCACTTCCCCGGCTCCTCCCAGCCCGTGTGTCTCCGATCAGAATGCTGGAGAAGGTACCCGAGTCCTGAGAGCCCCAGGCTTTCCCGCCTTCCCCTCGTTAATAACAAGTGGAGGGTGAAGTTGGATATCTCCCCCCTCCTCACCCGTTCTGTTTAAGTCCACCAGCTACGTCTAAAGCCGCTATCCAGGAGGCTTAAGGAAAAAGGAATGTGACTGGTTCGCTTATTTTGCTTTAAAAAAATCGCTCTGGAGATTAGTCTGCCAGGATCACAGCTACTGGTAAAACCAGGCATTAAAACCACAACTAAAGAAAACTGTGGTTCCCAACGATGGAATAAACTAGTAAATCAGAAGAGCCACGGGGCTCTGCAAAGATGGTGTGAGAAGTATAGGGATGGTCCTTTTTACTATTTTGTTCAACCACACTCTTTAGTATGGTCCACAACCTAACAAAACCATCTTAAAGTGGTAAGGCGACTTTCCTTCATCAGATCCAAGTTTCGAACAGGTTTAAAAGAAACGAATAAACAGGTTTCAGAAAGCTTGAGTGATGCAACAGTTCTTAAGTTGTTTTTATGGTTAGCAGTTTCCGAAGTGGTCTTGGAAGTGCCATCCGCTAAGCCAGTGCCATCCGCTAAGCCAGCGCCATCTGCGCAGCGGGAAGCCTGCCCAACAGAGCTCCTGAGAGATCCCCTTCTTCAAAGGCAATAAAGGTGTCAGCTTTTTTTCCCCTCAAAAGCCAAAACTTAAAAAAACGTTTACTCTTCAATTTGGTTATGTACAGGTATCCACATGATGAATTTTCAGTGAAAACTTTGTTCTCTCAATACCTTAGTTTAACTTTCTGGCTTTGCAAGAAGGGGCAAGAGGTAATTTTAGATGCTCAGTTAAAAAAATTCTTAGATGTACTAGCAGGATGCCTCTGCAAAATGCCAATACCCCCAAACATCTTAATCCAATCCATACTCACTGCTACATTCTTTTATTTTAAAATGTGCCACAGTGAATGGATGTATCCATATTGGTTTTTTATAAATGTACACACACACACACACACATATATACACAAAGTATATATGTCATGAGTTAAAGACCTATCCAAAAGAAGAAATAATTACTAGGAAGTTAACATAGGTGTTTACACTTCATTTGACAATGACAATTTATTTGAACTGAGGTTCCAGTTGCTTAGTACTCATTGATGATAACAACAACTAGCAATTACAATGACTAAATAGAGAACTGAAAATTTCTCTGTTGTGCCTTGGGTCAAAATTTTCATTGATAAATTTCACCAAAATTCTGTAACCTAAGAATTGATTATCCTTCACTACAGAAATTTAACACAATCCTAAAATCATAAACTTACTAACAATTATTGTTGTAGTGGGCTCTATATTCAGAAGGAATAAATATCTGTCACTCTTACCAAAAGACTATTCTGAGAGCTCAGAAAGTATAATGCCATAATAAATCATTCATAGAAGAGGGTCTCTTGATGCCACCACAGATTATGTTAAACAGAAAGGCAGCACCACATTTCTTACTCTGGAAAAGGAGGAAAAACTTTCAAAAACCCTGTGAAGTTTTATCAGGTACGTTTAAACACAGCAGCACTTCATTAACAAGGACAGAGCGCTATGATCACAGGAAATACTCGTAAGTCTAAACTGAATGCTATCCTGGGCAGCATAAAATGAACACTAACTTGGGTAGGCATGCCGGTGTGTCTGCCTCACACCTGTTTAGTAAGAAAGTGACCTGTAAGCAAGGCAAGAACAAAGTGACACTGCTATCACGGACTGACTTTCATTACTTTGAGAAGGGTGTGAATGGTCATGCCCTGCAACTAGAAAGGGGAGTCATTTGAAATCTATTAATTGGGCCAAACAGTTCTTTTAAGCTTTAATACTGCCTACTCCTCAACTCTGGCATTGATTGCCTCTCTGTGTTGGAAGTCAATGTTCATGCTCGATAGGGGCCATTTAAATCTTTCTGACCAAGAGGGTCCAAATCCATCTGACCTCAGAACACTGCGTCTTTAAGTGTCAACTTCTTGCAACATTGATGTATTTCTCTTGATATCTTCGATAGTGCTAAATTAGCATAATTTTATAATTTAAAAATGACATGGGGGCATAAAGAAGTCCTACTTTATATCTGTGTGTGTATATATGTATATACATACACATACTTTTCATTACCACATATATTTAGTAGCCCATATACCAATATCACATGACAGAATTTACAGTCAGAATAATCAAGACATTTAATTTAGTTTTTTTGTGGCCACTCATGTAGTGAAGTGAAAACACCAGTGTATTAATAAGGTCCCTTTTATTACATGCTCTTTCTAAGCAGATATTTGGAATGCTCAGAAGACTCCACTTTCAGTCTCCTAAGGCTTCCTAAGACATAAAATGGGACTTGAAGGAACAAGTATCTTTGGACTGTAGTTGAAACAGAAGTAGCTTCTGTTTATATCCTAGGAAACACTGGGTAACATGCCTTGTTTCTGAAACTGAAAACAATACCAGATCAGCATATAAAGAGAAAGGATACAATGGATATCAAGGTGGGTTAAATGCCCAACTGTTCTGCATCCTCATCATCTGTGCGAAGCAAGGTGGTACTAGTAGGCCATCTGAATAGGCAGAGTTTGAAGGAAGATGCTTTTCTGTTTGATGCACAACAAAACAATTTCATGAAAATGTAGGGATGGGAGAGGGAGCAGCTCTGTGCTTCTTGCTGTGTTACCTTTATTTACGTTCCTTGTGTCACTGAGGCTAGTTTAAAAATGGCCTGCAACAAGAATGTTCTAATCACCAGCCACCTTTCCCACCTTTCTTCTTTTTCTGTTGCTGTTTCTTTTTTGTTGCTGGAGCCCCAGCGGGTTTCTGGTGTCGTGGGGGTATGATGTTACTTGTAGATGTGGACGCTGTGGCTCCACTGCCAGGTCTTGGCGAGGTGGGCGGGCTGCTCACAGTTTTACTGGCATCCCTGAAATCATCAGATCAGCAAAGTGTTGGTCATTCATACACTCAACAAAGGAAACCACCCCTCACAATCTCCCTCATGTATTTTCTCTTTCTTTTGGCTGTGCCACACGGCATGCGAGATCTCGCTTCCCTGCTCAGGGGTTGAGCCTGTGCTCCCTGCAGTGGAAGCGTGGAGCCTTAACCACTGGACCATGGGGGAAGTCCCCACACACGTTTTCTTTTCAGCTGTGTTCCTCAACTCCCTGTACATTTTTCCTTGAATACCATTTTTACTGCTTTTTAATTTTAAAATTTAATAGATGGTACATGTCAAATTTTAGAAAGATTAGAAAAAAACCTTTTAATGATCTATAATCCTACCATGTAGAAATAAGCTCATTTAGTAACATTTTAAATTCTGCCTTCTAGTCACATTATTTCTGTTTATCTAGATATTTAGTTACTTGAATTACTCAGTGTACTGAGTTTCTTTTTGAAGGTACTATAATCCCAATATTTGCAATACAATCCTACAATCCTAGTATTTACAATACAACCAAACCAGAAGCAACACAGTTTCTCTCCTCTACATAACCATATTATAAAACATTCTTTAAAGGCTATTGGACTATAACTCTCATACTGAAGATATATTTTAAAAATTTCTTACTAATGACCTTGAGTCGATCTCAGAAAGAAGCAACTTATGCTCAACCGGGGAGCAGTAACTTACAGTTCAGAGGAACCTCCTGCAGTTGCTCCCTGAGTCCCTTTTCCAATCTGATCCTTCTTTTTACCCTTCTTCCTTCCTCGGTAGTAGGAGCGTTCACGCATTGGTAACCATCTTTCTGGATCTGGGGTCACTTTTGGGTCATAATTCTTAGGCAGTTTTCCTGTATAACAATTAATTGATAAAGAAATGAGAGATCTGTGCATAATGTTTTCGAGATAGTTTGTTTAAACACTGTGTCCAAACTTGGGACTAAACATTAAAACTGAAATAATAAACTTTTTATCTGAGAAAAGTTTTATTTATATAATCTAGTAGCAAAAGAGGCCTTATTTCTAAGCATAACACAAAATTCAGAAGCCCTAATATCTCATAGGTGTATCTGTATAAAAAAAAATTTTAATTCTCATTTAGTAAAAGATACTTTCAAAAGAAACAAAATAAGAAAACATTTGAATACTATGTAACTGAATTAATATCCTTAATATAGAGTTAGTTTTTGATAATCAATAGGTAAATCATATACAGAAAATGGGCATAGCTGTAATTAGAGTAAGCCTGGAGAAATAAAAGTCATTAACCATGTAAAAGATGCTTGACCTCCCTGATTAAAAATAAAAAGGACACGGGACTTCCCTGGTGTGGTTAGGATTCTGGGTCATGTTCAAGGAACTGAGATCCCACAGGCTATGCAGTATAGCCAAAAAAAAGAAAAAAATTTCAAGGATAAAATATTCTACGAAGAAGAACACCCAGTGCCAGTGAGACTGGGAGACAAACGATACTGCAGAAGGTGTATACTGGCACGCACGGGCACAGCCCCTGGGGAAAGCAGTCTAACCGGCAGCACCGGGACTGGACGGGACCCATGCTGCCCCAGCCGGGCTAACAGGGAAGACGCGCCAGATTCAGGGAGGCTCCCTTCATCCTCTGGATAGCACGTGTGTGGCCCTGCTTCCAACAAACATCTGATTACTCTAACGCGGTTCAGCTTTATGTACAGCACAGGAGAACAGAAAGGTAACGACTACTGGCTAACCAACCTCAATGCTAACCTTCCTCGACACTGTCAGTTTCATAAACAGTCAATTTTCTTACACCAGTTTGATGGAGTTCTATGGTACTTGTAGCCAAAGGCACTCTACTGTATAAGAGCTTACTGTGTGTCGGGCACTGTTCTAAGAGCTTTTTACACGCGGTATCTTATTTAATCCTATGAGGTGTATACTATCATGTATCATCTTACAGATGACAAACTCAGGAAGCTATGTTAAGAACCTGTTCACGGTCACAGCAAAAGAGCAATGTTACTAGAGCAACAATTTGAATTCAGGCAAACTTCACAACTGGATTCTTTAAAGTTAGAAATCTAAATAAATGTTAGCCATAGTCAAGTCAAAACTCAGTTTCAAAGATATGAGAGGACAAGTTTATTTATATCTGGAGATTTCTATGTAAGGCTAACCTTAAGCTTTTATTTTATAGCTTTTTTAATCTAAAGATTAAAAAAAAAAAGCCTTACCCTTCTTTTTTTTCTTCTTTTTTTTCAAATCTCCCTGTCTACAAAGAGAAGAAAAATCATTATCACTGTGATAAAATAATTACAGAGCATTAAGCATGTGCAAAAGACTGAGCTAGGTAATTTATCATAAAGGAGTTTAAGATTTGGTGTCACCACACCAAAGCTAATGAAACAATTTGGATATTTATTCAGGTTAAATTTAATCAAGCTTCAAATACTGTAGTTTTTGGAAGGTGGTTTAGAAAATGGGTGACAACTGTTTTCACAGAAGAGATATAATTTACACTGGCACGTATTAAATCTATGTAAAAAGACATTTGTGCAAGCACAAAAATCTACAGTTCTGTGGTAAATCACTTTATATTTGGCAGAACTAGTAAACAGGTAATCTAAAATCTTTGCCAGAAGAATATGCACAAGTACCACACAAGCAAAGAATATTTCTGGGAGGACATGCAAGGTAAGTTAACATCAGTTGTGGCCTTGGGTGGGAAAAGGGCAGACAGGGATTTGTCTCTCTACAAATTATACTCCACAACCATTATCTGCAATTTCCCAAAGAGTCTCTGCATTTCTCACTTCTTTGCTATTGCTCACATTTTGCCTATCTCCTCCTCATCTTCCTCTAGAGTCAACAGTCACCTCCTCCATGAAGCCGTCCCTGAATCCCAGTGTCCCCGGAGGGACTATTTCCTCTGGCGCACTCCTCTATGCCTGCGCATGACAGCACCTGCAACCTTTATTTTCAGCTGCTGCTGCTTTCTTTCTTCTAGACTGACGTTCTTTTGCGGGCAAGGACAATGATTTATTTGCAACACAATATAACTTCAAAAGAAATTAAGCCTTTGTATCGAAAAGTCAACATAAAGTGCAAAAAAAGCATTAATAATGCCTAGTGAAAATACTGTGCTGAAACTGAGTCAATGAACATCTTAGTAACTGTCTAAGGGAAAAGACAAAGAAGATTAAAGGATTATAAAAGAACTGCATGTTCTTACTAATTACCCAGCCCTGTTTTGAAAAAGAAAAAAAAAAAAAAAAACCTGAAAATATTTAAATAGGCATTATATGAAAATCCCCCAAGATCTGGTTTGAATTCATTATTTTGGAGTTCTTGATAAGGCTTGAAATTAGGACAATGATTAAACGAAATTTGAAACTATTATCACTGACACTCCAATTCCTTATTTGACTTTTAAGTTAAAAAGGAACAAGTACAGGGCTCATAATGAGGCCAATCATATACTGTTGCTGATACACATTTTCTTAAGTTATGAAAAATCAGAATTTAAGCCATTCAAAAAAGGAGAAAAGACTGAAAATTTATGAAAGTCACAAAATCAGGAAAGTGGTGTATCTCTTCCAGTCTCTAAAACAGAACCTTAAGGGAACATTTTATTTAGCAGGCCTCTGCTATTTTGAGATGATAATGCATGGGAACAAGGCAAGAATCAGAATTTGACTTCTTATAAATTACTGAAGCTGCCTAATGTTTCCTCCAAATCAGCAAAATGAACCTCATCTGAACTTTGGTTTAGAATTCTAAATGATGTACTAAATGTACATCAATAACCCACAGGTAAATAAACGTTAGGTCGGGCACATCTAGCCTATGGAATACTATGCATGTGTTAGTCGCTCAGTCATGTCTGACTCTCTGTGACCCTGTGAACTGTACCCCGCCAGGCTCCTCTGTCCATGGAATTCTCCAGGCAAGAACACTGGGGTGAGCAGCCATCCCCTTCTTCAGGGGATCATCGTAACCCAAGGACTGAAACTGGGTCTCCTGCATTGCAGGCAAATTCTTTACTCTCTGAGCCACCAGAGAAGGCCCAGTACTATGCACAAAAAGAATAAAATATGTCTACATTGAGAACATGGAAAAATCTCTAAGACTTATTAAAGGAAGTTCAGAAACAGTTAAATACAATATAATCCCGTTTCTATAAAAAAACAGAAAATAATCCAATCCAAAAGTATTCCTAGATCAGTTTTATGTGTAAACACAAAGAAAAAGATCTGGATGTATGCACACTAAATTAGTACTAGAGGTAAATTCTGGGTGGGGAAGGGGAACGGGTAACAAGGACAAAAAGCTGGGCACAGCAAAGGAAAAAGGAAACAAAAGGGACTTAAACTTTATTCACATGGAATTTTTATAAGAATGCATTTTTTATCCCTCATATAACTTAAAGTTGCCATTAATAAATATTATAATAAAAAACATTACCCTTGCTCCTTTGGTTGACTGTCTCCAGCAACTTTTCCACCCTTCTTCCGAACATACGTAGCACCAGGAGAATTTTCAAGAGCCTCAACATCTACTTTTAGAGACATACTATCCGATGAGGGCAAGTGTTTACTAAGACTGTGACAGAACAAGAGTTCGTTCAGGAAGACAATATATATATACATTTATATTTTGCCAATGTATCTATGCCAATAGGAAAACAGTCTTTTTGTTGGGTTCCCTTCATCAAAAAAAACATTAAGTCTTCTATAGAATAATAAGCCAGCAGATCATAAGGTCAATTAAAGGTACTATATTGTGAAAGAACTTGGGAAAGGAGTTATAATCATCTTATTCCTTAACTTGGTAATGTACTTCAAAGTGGTGGCTTAATAAAAACTCTGTTCCAAAATAGTTATCATGCTTATAAAACAGATCTGCTCACTGCAAAGGTTTAGACTTGCGGCTGCTCAGCACCCACCATCCCACGTTGGTTTTGGGACCACACCGATACTGAAGTAACAGACATGGCCCAAACTCAGCCAATCAGGGCAGTAAACCCTCTCTTACATCAGTAACTGAGATGGGCAAGTGAACTAAGAGCATTAATCAGAATGATACCTCAGAATCATGTGCAACCACCCAATAAAATATGCTTTTTCTTTATTTTTTTCCTACTCTACTTGAATCTGGAGAGAGATAAGCTGCATCTTGTTGACTGCATTTCTGCTTATGGATCAAACTGTATCCTATTTGAATATCACTGTATTTTTAGGTCACAGTGATCGATAAATTCTCATTTTTGCTTTTACTAGTTAGAGGAGGGGTTTTGCTTGTTGAAATTTATAACAAAAAGGCCCTGGTCAAAACAGGTAAGGGAAGAGATCTGGTGCACTACTTGAGAGAGGTCTGGAACGATCAAAAGGATACGCTTTTGCCTTCTCAGGATCTACAAGTGAGTAAGCAGAAATAAGCTGCGCCAGGGTGTGAATATCTTTGGGATTTTGTCTAAAAGAAGAAATAAGAAAAAGTCACTGAACAGTCCATAAAACTGGAGAAAGTAATATAAACAAGCAAAGTAACTCCCACATGTCAAATAAGAGCAATAAAACTTGGATTTCTACACTTCCACCCTTCAAAACTCACTTCCATAGCTGTTCTAGGTCACTAATTGCCTCCTTCTTCCGCCCATATTTGAGTTTGAAGTTTGCAGCTTCCCTTATCAAGGACAAATGAGCAGTAGATTTGGGCTATAGGTTCAATAAAGAAAGAAGAAAAAAATTTAAGCTACATATCTATTAAGTCAATGAAGTTTTATTCACTAGATCTTTAAAATGGACCTATCCATTAAATTTCTCATCTTAAGTTTTATTGAATGCACAATACAACACACACACACAATGGGACAGATAAATTAGTACAAGTGAAGACCGATTTAAGAATTCGGGATACAATCCATCTCCATCTAAACTGTCTTGTCTACAACTATAAGTATTACGGCATAATCAAATCTTAAAAGTTTTTCATTATAGTTCTCAAACATTAATTTAACATAATACTTCCTAGAACACTGATCTCTCTTCACTGCTAACACTGCTAACAGTATTCATGTCACCTGTGTGTATAAGTTAGATACTGCCTATGCAGAGACCCATACTGGAAAAAACAAAGCTGTTCCTATTAGAGATACACAATCATTCCATGTACTGCTGTTCTATCAATTACTACCATCCATGGGCTCTACTTTAGTGGCTCTCCTATCCTAGAGAGCCACTAAAGATGAGCTCTCTTATATGCAGTCATGTACAATTACTATTCTTATTTCTTGAGATTACACACACAAACACACATACATATACTCAGGAAGGAGCTTCAGAAAATATAACTGTGCTTTTTAAAAAATTTTTTATTTTACAGACATTTCTTACTTCTAATAACTTTATTTGGACATGCTATACTCAAAAACTGAATGATAGTCTAATAGCGTTCCACTTTTTAAACACTGAGTTGAAATGTTTCAATTTGCCTTAAGTATGAAATCACTACTAAAACTTTTTATTCTTATGCAAAAATGCACCCTTATAACGTTACCCCATTTACTTACCTGATGGCTTTGATACCACTGGATGGCCTGTGTAAAGACTTCGATGGCACCGTCAATATCCTCCTCATGGCTGTACATTGTCACTAATGCAGACACCTGCCCAGCCAAAGGCATAAATGAGTGAACAGAATTCCTCCATCTCTCTCAGAATAAACTTTTTGAAAACTAGTAACATTAAAGAAACAGCAAATAAAGGTTGCTAGGCTCTCTGCTAGTATCCAATCCATTGTAAAAATTGCTAGCACGTAACTAGAAACATCAAGAACACAGGGCTTTCCAAATACAAAGGTGGTTACCTACAAAAAAAACACCTCCTCTAAGGCCAGTTGACAAATGGTTTGTTACCAGTCCATAACAAGGTAAATACAGAAGTTGATAACAAGCACTTACAAAATTAGTTTATATAGTATAAGACATTGCCAGGACATTCAAGACATGATCATGGAGATAAATGCACTAGCATGGCTAAACTCCCATGATAAGCCTTATAAAACCAGCGAAAGCTTGCCTAGTGTGCTGGAGGGACAGCAAGGAGGCTTGTGAAGCTGGAGCGGAGTGAAAGGGGAAGCAGCAATAGGAGATGAGGACAAAAAGGAAGCACAAACAAAAAGCTGTATCATTGGGAAAAATCAATAGAATTAATAAGCCTCTGGCTAGACTAATTAGAAAGAAGATAATAGAAACAAAACATCCTGGAGATGTTAAAGATTATTTTCAGCCACATATTATATTTGATGCTAACATGAAGTAATCACAGTCCAGTCTTAAAGTAAGATTCTTTAAGAGAAAACACTATTATAATACTATCATACATTTACTTGTTTACTGTAAACAAGCTGTGCTGGAGAATGAAACAGTCCCTTTATAATAAATGCACATACCACCACCACAGAATTAGTCTTTACTTTGAAACAGATGTGTTCACAGCTATACTAGTGATCTAAACCTGTGATGCTTGAATAATCAGAGAACTAACACCTAAATCTGTTGGTCACTATTACCAAACTGTTTTAACTCAAAAGAAATCAAAACTGAAGACATGATAAAATAATAGGCTAAGAAATGCCCTATATATGGTCTTAGATTATTTAAGGCTGGCTTTCAGTGGTAATACAAGGCCTAAATGGTTCCTGACACATTTGACTTAATAAAAAATCAATGCTAAAGCAAAGCATAAAATGAAATTAAATTTATACTAGAAAGCTATTATTTTAAATACTACTTCTATATTATGAATATATATAAAAAAGGCAGAAATTAAAAAAGAAAAAAGGCAGAAATTAAGGTGAAAACAAAGAAATATCAAATACACCCGTGAACTTATATTAATTCCATTACTTTTTCAGTCTTAAAATATTTTAGTTATAAACTCACCATGCCTGGTTTATGCTTTAATTCCTCTATGCTTCTCAATATCAAACATGCTTTGGAAATATTACCTTAAGAGAACAAAAACAAAATCAGCATCAATTGAAGAAAGCATCTCATGGAGAAAAAAAGGAAACAGAAAATTTAAGAGTCATATTTTCGAACATCTCTAAATACTCAAGCTTTGGGACCTTGAAAATAATGTATTCTATCAATATTTACTCAGTTTGCCAACAAAGGAAATTAAATCCTAAAGAAACAACATACTTTGCTCACGCCCACAAAGTTAATGACACAACTGCTATCTGAAAAGTCTCCCAACTCTCAGCCTGCTGAATTCTATTTCTCTTTTCAGAGGGTAACTTAAAGGTAGGAGTCCTTCCTTAAAGGCCTTGAAACTGTTGCTGTAGGTATGAGTGCAATGGACAGTAGTCCTACAATGTTGAAACACTAGTTTTCTATTCATTGCAAACCTCAGTAAGTTAAACTTTCCACAAAACAAAAACCATGACACATTCACTCTCAGTAATTAGTATGATAAATTATCCTCACAAAAATAAACTGAAAACTGGGTGAGAAAAGAAGATTAAAGAGGAAAGCAAGAAAAAGAAAAAAGAGAGGTGGGAAAAGGAAAAAGAAACAAAAGATTAAGATAAGAAATTTGAGAAAAGGGAAGCTGGTCTCAACCTGGTTTTCATTATTATTACCCCACTAAGAAGCCTTTTTAGACATTTGCCAACTCCCATCCCCTCTACCCATGAAATTTTCATTCTAGCCATCATAATATCCAAAAGGTTTTTTTCAATCCTCTGCTTCCACCAAACCAATCTTCACTTCCTTGAGAACACACCTCCTGGTTTATGGCTGACACCAGAGCTGTCTGACAGCAGTCTGCCAGAATTGTCTGTGATGATGGAAACCTCCTCCATCTGTGCAGTCCAACCAGCCACATGCTGGGTACAAAACTTATGAAATGTGGTCAACACAACAGAGGAACCTAATTTTAAACTTTGTCTAATTTTAAACTTAAACATGGATAGTGGCTACCAAATAGAGACAACACAGCTCTAGACACTCACCCAACACTGATTTAAAATCATAAACAAAAAAACTACTAGTTTTAAGATTCAAAAAAATGTTAAGTTCTCATTAAATTTCCTTGCCTCTTTTCTACCAAAGATATGGGTTATAAAGTATAAAAGAAGAATAAAGGACTAAATAAGAAATTTTGAAAACTAGGTTGCAAAGTCACACTTACTTCATGCAAACACTACCACGTGACAGACACAAGCATTTCTACGCGAGACATACATATCCGGGAAATTTAAGTATAGAACAGACGAATTCTTTGCTTCTACAGACTTTCAAGGCATAGTTGGAGAAACAGTCTAACAATTTAGGAATTAACCCAAGAAAAGGCCTACTAAACTCACTACTACATCTGGAGCTCGTACAATCTAGCTTTGTATTTGGAACAGCATTATGCTTCACTATGATGCAAAAATTTTAAAAATCACATAGTCTACAACTACTTCAGAATCATTCCAACCATATATTTCTGTTAACATGATTATGTTGATCATGGTGAAATAATCACGGCTACCTTGGGAAATTTTCAGCTGTGCCATGGTCAGCTTAATTTCAGCAGCATTTTCTGGATGCTGATCTGAATAGTCCTAAATAGTTGGGGGGAAGAAATCACATTAATTTACACAATTAAGCGTACATATTCTAAATGCTTATTTCAGCCTTATTAAAATTTTAAATCTAGTTTTAAAATATTAAATTTCTAGTTTCAGAAAAAATGTTTAAATCTGGAAAAATTTTATTCGATACCCACTTGGCTTCAAAATTATGCTCCTGGCTTCAAAATTACTACGTGCAATAATATCAAGTTTCTAAGAAGTCACCAAGAGAAAAATAATAATAAGATTACTACACAGATTTTTAAGATACTAAAAAAATATATATATATGACTCCTTACTCCTTATCCCTGTTCAGCAACATTTCCCCTGAAGATGGTCCTAATTTTACACTGTCCAACTTTCCAATGTGGTCTGCTCTCAGGAAATTCAATGTGATTTAACACTTCATTCTAGTTAAATGAAAATCAAGTCAGTATCTCTGTAACTGGTGCTCTGGATCGGGGCTTTAACTAGAGAATACGTTACTGGTATTTTTAACCTAAAACGAACCATTGTCTGTGTGTGTCAGCCGCTCAGTCGTGTCCGACCCTGTGCAACCCCATCGACTGTAGCCCACCGGGCTCCTTTGTCCATGGGATTCTCCAGGCAAGAATGCTGGAGTGGGTTGCCATTTCCTTCTCCATTAACAAATCATTAACTACTGTTAAGTTGATCTCCAAATAAAAAGTATTCTTCAGAGTTTATGGCAAACATTTACTAATGCAAACTTATATAAAGAAAGCTGCAGCCCGGAATTAATTAAAGTGACATGCTGGCATGTATCTAGTGGTATGTTATCAATACTTAATCATTTTCCCATGAAATGTATAAGGCTTACATTATTTTAACATGAGGAAAATGAAGCAAGGCTGCAGCCATCTGACAGCTCAGGAAAAGCTCAGTTCTTTTACCTGCAGCAGCTCTATTGCTTTCGTGTGCTGCTTTTCACGGCAGAGCTGGGCAGCTTGGATTAGCACAGGAAGGAGACGCTCAGGACTCTGTGACTGTAAGCTGGCAGATATTTTGCGACACTGTTCTGCCTGAAAAACAGTATTTGACACCCCACCCATCATAAGCTGGTTAATTAAATCAAACATTAAGTCAATGACCAAAGGGAAAAGAAGCATAGGGGAGGTGGAAGGAAATCAGTTGAAACAAAATCATAGGTGAAGAACCACTTAGGGTGAGAGAGGTGGTTTACAGTAGCCTCAATTTCTTCTTATTAAAAAAAGATGTCCATTTACTGAATATAAACTACAGGTTTTTAAAGCATTTAAGAAAAATAAGTCCTAAATATTCCTTTGGATGCTTAAATTTCAGAATTTTGTTTAAATGCACACACGTATTAAGTGTCACCCTTGCTTCAAAGCAACAAAATGTACAGGTATTTCCTGCTGAAGTATTTAAGAACAATATGACTCAGTTCTAAATAGTGAAAATGTTACTGCTGCTCAGTCCACTGAAAGCCTGCTGAGTACAAAATCAGAACTTAACTAGAATTTACACACATGAGACTTAGAATCGACCTCATTTATAGCTCAGATGATTATGTACAAACTATAATGAAAGATGGCTCTTAAATTTATACTCATGACTAGCACCTTTGCTTTTTTCCTTTAATTCAGAAATAATTAGAAATAAGGTAATAAAAAATTATCTCATTTTACAGCTGTGAACAGTGTTTTCTTAGAAGCCACCAACTGCACACCTTTACAAAGAATTGGGCCAATTACTTATTTAACAGTTAAAATCTATGATACATGACATTCTGAAGTATACATGAATTAAAGACAAGAAATGAAAATACAGACTGGACTGATACACCCATTATGGATTACGTACCGTATTTCAAAAGGTTTAGTCAGGGGACCAGAATTCTGTTACCTACCTGATTTGTGTACATAGCAAGTAAAGCTTTGTTAAATTCTATAGCTTGCAGTTGTTTCTTAGAAAGCTTAAACTCCACTCCTTCTGCATTGGTTAACTTCACCTTCTTCTTGGAGTCAAAGACATTTTGGTCCTGACAAAGAAAAGTTCACTCATCATTAACAGCAATCTTAGACTTCAACTCTTTCAACACTCCAAGGCCTTATTTTATGTTAACACGACAAGAGAGCTTGGAAGATAATATACCTGGTTGGGGTGCCTATGCTACTATGATGCATATAAATTTGGCTTGGGTTCTTGGTTTTATCTTTCCACTATTAACTGACTGTTTTTAGCTTTTTAATGAAAAGTACAGAGGGACTGCACAAATCTTACAATGAAAATTAGGACTACAAAGATACCTAAATTTGTAATTTCTACAAACTATCTTAAGAACTTAGATGACTGATGAGTAACCTAACTTACTCCTCTTTGACATACTGTCATACATAAACAAATGAAATGGTGTAAGAATGGAAGGAACTAAGTCACGCTGCACCCTGAGAAGGACAACCAGACATCTGAGTGTCTACTAGCATAGCATCCTAGCTTTGTTAAATATTTATTTGCAAATATGTGTTATCACTGTGCTTTTAAAACCAGGTTTTCTACTAAAGACTAAAAGGAGGCAAAGAAGAAATCTAAAATAAATTTTACTTTTTGAGTGTGAAGCTTCAATCCAATGTTAAATTATTTTAAACATACAGCAAGAAACATATAAATCCTTAAGAAACCATATTTCTAGTAGGTACTCTTATGTCACTATTTTAATACTTAAATTCACCATGCATGCCACTGCCAGATTTTTCTTCAACTTTGCCATCATGGCACTTAATAAAATTTTATATTTTCTGAGGACTCCCACACCTTGATCATCAATAAATCTAGCCTTTTTTGAAACTTAGCCAGCGTGTATGTATCTTTTGCTCCCTCACTGTCCCCTCAAAAGTTATTTGCATATGCTTAGGCATGGGAAATGCTTAGCCTTCAAATCATATCTCTCCTTCAAGGCTCTGCTCAAATTAGCCAACTCAGAGATCTTTTTTCTCACCAAATACCACAGTTACAAAGTATCTGACTAGAAATTTAAATGTGCACAATTTTTTTCAATACTAGAATGAGATTTTTAATACTACATAATGATTAAGACCATGGTTCATAGTTATTTTGCATTACCTAATGGATTCAGCAATATACTGAAGAAAAATTCAGAAATGTTGACTGAAGAAAAATTCAGTATATAAATATATAAATATATTTATTAGGTTGGTGGAAAAGTAATTTTGGTTTTGTATTATTGAACTTTGCTATTTGATACTGAATAAACCCTTAAATAAATGCAGTTATGTTATACATCATTTTAATGCACATTTCTTGCTTTATAGTTTTTGCTGTTTATTTCATATGTACTTTAGACTATAGAAATGATGGTAGACAAAAAGCAAATTTGAGCAATTTTCTTATTCAAGTTCAAAATGAGTCATAGAAGAGCAGAGACAACTCGCTACACTGACAACACATTTGGCCCAGGACTGCTAATAAACATCCAGTGCACAGTGGTGGTTCAAGAAGTTTTGCAAAGGAGACGAGAGTCTTGAAGATGAGGAGCACAGTGGCAAGCCATTGGAGGCTGACAACGACCAAACGAGAGGATCAATGAAGCTGATGCACTTACAACTGCACAAGAAGTTGCCCAAGAACTCAATGCCAACAATTCCACGGTTATTTGGCATTTGAAGCAAATTGAAAAGGTGGAAAATCTCAGTAAGTGGGGGCCTCATGAGCTGACTGAAAATCAAAAAAATCGTCATTGTGAAGTGTTGTTTTCTCTTACTCTACATAGCAACAAAGTATTTCTCTGATTGTGACATATAATGAAAAGTGGATTTTATACAACAATCAGCAATGACCAGCTCAGTGGCTGGACCAAGAAGCACCAAGCACTTCCCAAAGTCAAACTTACACCCAAAAAAGGTCACAGTCACTGTTTGGTGGTCTGCTTCTGGTGTGATCCACTACAGCTCTCTGAATCCAAGTGAAACCATTACATCTGAGAAGTATGCGGAGCAAACTGATGAGATGCATCAAAATCTGCAATGCCTGCAGCCAGCACTGGTCAACAGGAAGGGCTCAGTTCTCCTCCGTGTTAATGCCTGACCACACATTGTACAACCAATGCTTTCAAAGTTGAACGAACTGGGCTACAAAGTTTTGCCTCATCCATCAGATTCATCTGACCTCTTGCCAACTGACTACCACTTCTTCAAAAATCTTGACCACTTTCTGCAGGAAAACACTTCCACAACCAGCAAGCAGGATGCAGAAAATGCTTTCCAAGAATTCATCAAATCCCAAAGCATGAATTTTTATGCTCTAGGAATAAACAAACTTATTTCTCGTTGGCAAAAATGTGTTGACTGTAATGTTTCCTATAAAGATGTGTTTGAGCCTAGTTACAAGGATTTAAAATTCAGGGTCTGAAACCGTAATTACTTTTGCACTAATCTAATAGATTGAGATATTTAGTACTTCACACACACTCCTCCCCACTATTTATATATCAGTTAAAAACAATTTGTCCTCACTAGCATTTCAAATTGTTCATGACCATAAGCAGGTAGATCTTGCTGCTAAGAATCAAATGCCAGCATCACTTTCTGGAAACCTACATCATGACAATGGCCTGCAACATCCTGTAATTATTACCTTTCAATGCCACTATCCCACATCTGTGAACCCTCTGAATCTCTGCCAAATGAGGTGAGAGATACCATTCATGGGTAGAAGGACAGCACTTTGGAGTCAGACTAGAATGTGAATCCAAGTTCTACCTCTTATTGGCTGTGATCTTATACAAGTTATTTAACTCCTTTTAGCCTCAGATTATACTTCTATAAACTGGAGACAAGTACTATCATCTAGAGATAACTGTGAGGATGAAATAAGCTGGCACTTGGAAAATCACACAGCCTACCAAAAGAAACTGTTACTTTTCTAATTTTCTATTGACTTGAATTTCAAATCTGAACTTGAAATATCTTCCCATTAAAACAATGTTCCAACAGGTGTTTATTCTGACTCACACAGTACTCATTAGGATTGTTTATATACACACTTGTAATATTTTACTCAGGGCTTGGATTGAGGAGGGTGGTGGAGAAAGAGAAAACCTGCCCACGGCTCTTCTCCCTCAAGACAAAAGCCACTAAAAGACAAAAACTATCCACAGAAAACTCACATTCAGACATACTAGATGAAGGAATCAGAGTCTAAACAATTTACTTCTCTAACAAATATTCTCCATATAATGAGAATAAGGGAAATAATATAGCTATCTTAACATAATAATATAATCATATAGAATATGATAATTCTAATAAGTAATGGGAAAAGGTAAGATTTTAAAGTCCAGTGTATATAGCTACAAAACAGTTCTATTATTTGAACAAACCTTGCAGAATCATTATGAGAGTTAAATAACACTCTCCACTGTGATTTTTGGGCTTCCCTGATAGTTCAGTTGGTAAAGAATCCACCTGCAACGCAGGAGATCCCTGTTCGATTCCTGGGTCAGGAAGATCCACTGGAGAAGGGACAGGCTACCCACTCCAGTATTCCCGGGCTTTCCTCGTGGCTCAGCTGTTAAAGAATCCACCTGCAATGCGGGAGACCTGGGTTCAATCCCTGCATTGGGAAGATCACCTGGAGAAGGGAAAGGCTATCCACGCCAGTATTCTGGCCTGGAGAATTCCATAGACTGTACAGTCCATGGGGTCACAAAGAGTAGGACACGACTGAGTGACTTTCACTGAATCACTCACTCACTCACTGTGATTTTGCTGCAATTGGACTTCGTCATGGAAAAACCTGTCCTAGAACAAGGCGGGGGTAACATGCTTCTAGTGTTAAGATATAAGTGTGGGGAAACCATGGATAGTCCATACCTTGTTAATTGTAATGATGTTATTTGCAATCACGGCTAGCAATGCCACATCTGTTGGTCTGTGAACAAAAAAGTAACAGTCAAAAAAGAAGATACCTTTAAAAAGAAACCTTACCCCCTATAAAAGACACTTCATTTTTATAATTCACTTACTTTAATTTTATTATCTGGTTGTAAAGTTGCAAAGCCTCCTCTGTACGACCCTGAAGCTGCAGAATATAGGCCATCTGCCCATGAATGATGGCCAGTTCTGCCTGGGGGTCTTCTTCAGTCCCATCCTAAGCAAAATAAGAAAAAATTTTCCCCCATAAGTTCTCCAAATTGATCCACATATTCAAAAGACTATATAAACCAAAAGAAAATATATAATTTTCAGGAATTTTCCTATAGAGTCAGTTTGTTAAATTTAGGAATTGCCATCAAAACAGGGAAGCTTAAATGAGAATGACAAAAAGAAAGGTTCTGGAAGAACATGGTAACAAGTTCAGGAATACTATTCATTGATCATTTCTATTCTTTAAAACCTAAGAATTAAAAAACAGTAAAAACTAGCATGCATGTTTAACCTTTTACAACAATACCCCTGAACTCTATAAACAATTTTCTCATAGAAACACATTTTCAGAATGCTTTACTCTTAAATCTAATATGATTCTAGTCCAAAGATTACAAAATTTTAACTAGTAATTATCACTTGTAAAGAACTTCAAGAGCTGAAACTAACTCTGTAATTAAAGTAGCAAGTCTCTTAACTGATACCCCAGACTAATCTATATTTTCCATTCCTTTGGAGAAGCTGACTGATGCCCACACACAGTGAATCCTCAAGGCTAGGAGGCTGCTCTTTTTTTGCCATATTTGGCATTCCTACTCTCATCTGGTAAGAATATGTTTACCAGGCGTGTCAGACGCATTTGTTTCCAATTACATTATGCCATTATGTTTGATAAGAAAATAATAAAACTTAAGTATTATAGTAAGACACGAACTATGAGTGAGAAAAGAGACTGGCTTCAATGATTAACTATGCTGAATGCTCAGAAATATTTGACAAAGGTAAGTTCCTAAAGAAAATTACTATCTAATTAGGTATGAGCAAGCAAACAGTAAGAGATCAGTGAAAAGACAATTCTGTAATGAAAGTAATTCACGACTATCTTTAAAATACTATTACACTTAAAAAAACCCCTGGAGATCATGAGTGTAGAATTCTGTAAGAAATATGCCTGGAATTCCCACAAATAGACCCTTACTCAAAGACCTGAGCCCTACATCTAAAACAGGAGAATGAATTTATATTCATATGAATTTTAAATGAAATGCAAAAAAAAAAAAATGAAATGCATAAGGCATATAAAATTTTTGTATTATAATTTCTCACCCTAAGAGATTCCATCAAATAAGGGTTTTTGTTGATTTTATTCCATCAAATAAGATCCCAGAGGGTTTCTGTGATTCCTATTTAATGAATCAGCATCATTTCAAAAAGTCAGTAAATACTACAAAGAAGTCTACTACAAATTTATATTAGCCACAGTATAATTATCTGGGCTTAACCACAGTGGAATACTTACAGAGTCTTCTGAAAATGAACGGCGGCAGAGATCTATAGGAAAAAATGTTTTTAAAATTAACATTGCTGGGTAACTCTCATTTCTTTCATGTTCCAACAAGCAAAAACAAAATTCTTAGGCAGAAGATTTAAGATAATTTTGATAACAAGCACATTTGAGATTTATCATTAACATCAAACATATTACATAAATATCAATCCTTGATTATTCTTGCTCTTTGGCATTTTCTTTCACTTGTAATCCCTGTGAAAAAATTTTTAAGGCAATTTAAAATCTATAAATGTAACAAACGCTGACTGCAAAAAATCAGTTATAGAAATGTATAAAGCCAATACTCCTGCCACCCAGAAGTAACTACTCTTTAGCATTTCAGCTATTGTTTTTAATGTAAATACACAGTTGCATTTTTAAATGAAAGTGGGATATTCTACTAGTTTGAAACCTCCCTTCCCCCATTAATATACTATGGACATCTTTATAACAGATACATCTACATTTTTATTTTTAACATGAATACTGTTAATGACCACATGGTTATTCTATTCTATGGTTATCTACTCTATGGTTATAATAAAACTAGCTAGTCCTCTAATAGGACAGAAATGCATGTTTCTTAATTTTTGTTCTTATGAACATTCATACAGATACATATATATGAAGGTATCCAGTTTTTCCTTAAATTTCTGGAAATGAAATTCTTAGATCAAAGGGTATGCAAATTTCAAAATCTGCTACACTGCCTCAAACTGCCCACTGCAAAGCCTCTATTACTTTTACATTCAAACCTCAAACTATGTATGAGGGTGTCCTCCATATCACTTCAATCTAGGTATGATCCAGAAATCATAATTCTTACACATAGTTTTTGCCTCATGGTGCTCTAACCTTGGCCCTTATTTTAACCATCAGTATTAATAAACCAGACCCTGTTTTATCTTTTTTTCCTTCCTATAATTCACTGCAGTTCTATATCACTTTCATAGCTTCCAAGGAATATGTATGCAGAAGTAAGTCAAAATATTTCAGGAGTTGAGACCAGTCATAAGTTCTCTAATAAATTAGTTTCTTTTTCTCTCAATTAACAGCTTTCAAGTATATAGGTACTGTATATGGAAACATACTAAGTGGAGTGAAAACGTGCTTAAATAGTGTTATCAATGAACAAATGTAGTGTATACTGAGGAACACACACAGGCATACCATACTGTTACTATACTTGTGTACTTAATATCAATAATAATGATAACATTTACCAAATGTTTATTAACTCTGTTAACTTGCATTTACCATTCACAGCAAGTTGTTCAAAAACCTACTACTCAAACTTAAGGTTTGGTGTAGTTGAATATGGACAAGAAGACTGGTTTAAGGATAAGAGACCATAAGAGAGACACAGTCAGGATCCCAAGAGAAGGGCTAGATGGAGTCTGAGAAACTTCCACTGCATCAATAATTTCTACTTAAAAACATCCCAGAAATCAAATGTAGGTTTTGGAAATACTTTGCAAAGTTATATGCATGTTATGTTTACACATAATTTTAACAAGTGTCCAACCTTCAGCTTTGTGCAGAATTCTCATTGCCTGGCTCAGCTGGCCTTGTCCTATGAGAGCACACGCAGTATTGTAGCACAGCTCGTGCGTGCCTTCTTGCAGCCCCAAGTTCTCCTGCCACAGAGCGAAACACCAGTCAAACACCAGGCAGGAACAACGTTTCATGGCTGTGTGCGTCTACAGAGATACTCACTGGAACCACTTTTTCCCAGTTGCTTTGAGCTGCAACAACGGCTGAAAGATTTGTTTTTCTCTCCTCATCATAATCATCTTGGGAGTTGCGGACAAGATCTCTATATACAGCCAGGCATTCATCATAGCGTTCTAACCGGTATAACTAAGAGATAAATAGCAGATCAAAAATCAGAGAAGACAAGTATTGTGTTATATCCCTGACCCCATATAATCCCTTTTTGGAACTGTTATATAAGAAACCTAATTCAACATAATGTGGGAAATTAACTGTTTTTCCTTTACAATTTTTCAATTAGTTCTGCATGCTACTAATACTTCCCCAAAGTTACTTGCAATGAATCTCTACTATACTGCATATTTGTAGGCATGATTCAGTGAGAAAAGCCATTGTATCAACTCCCATCTTGAGATTAGGTAAGTGTCTAAGCGGGTTGTGAAAGAAAATCATTCTGCAGAAATCAACCTTGCTACCTAAATCTGACTCAACAATAAAAAAAAATTTTCCAGAAGATTACTAAGCCCTAGTGAACAGGAACAAAATTAGATGTTAACAAAAGGGCTTACCATTTCTAGGGGTTCATTATACTTCATCTTCATTTCCCTTTCCCAGAAACCAACTATTGTATTAGGTAGTATCAAGTATACACAACATAATTCTTGTTTATTCTATTCAAGTTGTTCTCAAAGGGCAGTGAGAACTGCCAATCTGGGTCAATTAGTCTATCATGTATGCAAAGATGGGTACCCTTTATCAATACCAAAATGCAGGCATTCACCCTAAACTAACCCAGCTTACATGAAAAGTGTTTTATGGACCTATAATCCATAAATGCACCCAAATTTTTCTTTGTTAAACTAACACTACCTTTTAGGGACAATAGATAATTCAATACAACATTATTTGCCCTAAACTGACATTTTAAAAAATTTTAAGAGCGTTTTGCTAGTTCTAATATAACATTTCTGTTTTCTTATCATAAGTAACACTACTTTACATTAGGCTTATTTGTATGTCTCAAAACTCTTTGAAAATAAGGTATTTCCAGAGATTTCATGAACTATCTGAATTCATCCAAATTCTTATTCATCATGATTTTCTTCATTTTACACTTAGAATAAAATACCAGTTAAAAACTATAAAGACTACTTCAAAACTATAGTATATAGTATATAAACTTATTGGCCTTCATCTTTCCAACTACAAAGTTCAAATTTCATAGGATAGTTTTTAACTTCCCAATTACGCTGAGGAAGTCATTTGTTCATAAAACACTATACAAGCAGTTGCTCATATGAAGATCAAGAAGAGGAAACATGCTCAAACCTCAAGAACTGGTTTGGTGGCAAGTTTAATGGATCATCAGGATAGGCTGGGGTTCCTCATCCCCGCTCCCTGCTCTAGTCAGAATCGCGTTCACTCAGGATGACTGTCAAACAGGGAGTTTAAAGCAGTAATTACCACTTGTCCATAAAGCTCCTTTAGTTTGTCTGTCTGCTGGTTGGCGCCTTCTATTGTCTTCAAGGCATTCTCAATTCTGTTCAGCCTGTACTCACAGTATGCCTTCTCAAAGGAAAGAGAGTTACTGAAAAAGGAAAAACCAATATGTGATTATTAGCTAACACTGCAGAGCACCCGCTACAAGCCAGATACTGCTCTAAGCACACTCGATACATATTAAGTTATTTAATCATTAATAAGATGACAAACGCTAGTGACTTGTCTAAAATCAGACAGCTCAAAAGTGATAGAAAATACTACATTCATTTCCTTAGGCTCTCTTGTTTTCATGGATATTCTTACTAGAATTACTGGCCTTTTGAAACAAATTTATAAGAATGAAATTCTGAATTAGCTAAAAACTGTTCTAGATATAAAGACAATCTCAACATTGTTTTAAATGGGTTGTTATAGAAGTTTCTTAAATCTATTAATGAAATAATAAGGCATAAAATGCTGCTTTAACTTGCTAAAGAAGTAAATAATCAGCAAAGAAAAAGTAACTAGAAATCTTAAAAGAGCATAGCACTTGTAACCGAACAACTGGTAAACACACAACTACAAAAACCACTCCTTACGCACACAGACTTAAGAATTCAGCTACATTAATGTCACAGATGAAACTCATTTTGAAGTTTCAACCATAATCCATGAGGAAAAACCAATATCAAGTAGATGGCAATATCCTTTATTCACTAGACTTAACAAAAAACTATTTGAAAACTTCCCCTCCTCACAAAATCACCCACAATCAAAACACTGAATTTTAGTGTAAACATGTTAATTAGAGGAAAGCAGTATACCTTCTATTGGGGCTTCCTTTGATTACCCTTTTATTCTTAGTAAAGTCTAAAAAAATTTTTTTAATCTGTAATACACACAGTTGGCCCCAGTTAAAAAACAAAAAGGTATACACTGAAAGGTTTTACTTCCACTGTTCTTCAAATCTACTGTGTTCCCCTCACCTCCTACAACTATTTTTATTCATTGCTTCTGCATCAAGTGTTTGTCTTTGCAAACACACAAAAATACACACAGAAATTCTTATATCCTTTTCTCATACAAGAGGAAGTATATAATACACTGTTGTGTACCTTATAAACATTAAAGAATAAATATGATACAACCTTCATTTCAATACACATTTCATTGGGGGCTGAGGCATAACTAAAGAAAAATGAAATTACAGTAACAATTCAGAATTTAAGTGCACATTTCATGAAATGAAAAACGAAGTAACAATAAAAGACTGCTGGACTTCCCTGGTGGTGCAGTGCCTAAGAAGCCACCTGCCAACGCAGGAGGACACAGGTTTCACTGCTCCGGAGTCCTGTAACCAAGATCCCACATGCGCTGCAACTACTGAAGCCCGCACACCCTAGAGCCCGCAGGCTGCAACTACTGAAGCCTGTGTGCTTACAACCTGTGCTCTGCAAAAAAGAGAAGGCAGCACACAGGGGAAAGCCCACACACTGCAACAGAGAGCAGTCACCGCTGGCTGCAGCTAGAGAAAGCTTGCACAGCAACCAGGATGCAGTGCAACCCCAAAATAATGATAAACAGTAACAAATTTAAAAACTACTCTATATTCTAAAGACTGCTAAAGACCTCTGCAAGATCTTGGCCTAGATCATACTCACCTAAACAGTTCTCAAAGGAGACAGACACAGAGGTCAGGCTAAGACTGCCAAACCACCCTAGAGGCCTTGACTGACACATCCCTACCCTATGTGTTCTGCCCTCCTCTGTCCCCCACCCCTTTTTTCAAATTAAACTTCTGACGAATTGCTCTCCCTACATCCTTCAAGAACTCTTATGACTCTTGTTTATGGCCCATGCCCCTCCAGAGTTTCCCTTCTTCTTCCCTTCCCTTCAAAGGGAAGACAGGTGTAAAGAAAAGGCTCCTAAGGCATGACAGAAAAGAGGTTACTACGGCTCCTTCCAGTTTCACAAACACCATTGGGAAGCAAGAGGAAAAAAGAGGAAAGGAAGGAAAAAGGTAAAAAAATCACTGAATAATGGGGGTGAAACATGGAAATGGTTACAGCTGTGGTAAACGTGCACAAACAACTAATTAAATCACTTACTTGGCAAACACTCTGGTGTGAGTGTTGATGACATTCAAGGCTTCCTTGAAACTTCCGTTCTGGATAAGGCAAACCACTTTACAGTGCAGGGCAGTAACGTCATCTTTGTTGATCTGCAGTACTAGAGAGCAATTTTAGCGAAGCAATTTTTAAATCCATTCGCTTTGCACATTTCCACCTAAGGAAGCTACAACACCAATTTTACTGCAGCAGAAATGATTAGTCAAAATATTTTTTAAATGGCTGATCTTTAAGTTAAGAAGTGACAATAAGGAGAGCTAGTTAGCCTTTCCAGTGACATAGCTTCTCAAGATGCATGTAAAAAAAAGTACAGTGAAATAAAGAATGAAGCTCTTTTCTATTGCTTTTTCATCTTGGGACGCATGCTATATCCTACATATTTCATTACTTCACAGGGAAAGAAAAAAGTTCACATAGAACTTAGTAGCAAATGACAGGTTTGATTATAAGTTTGTCACTAACTGCCTTGAGGTCTTGGGCAAGTCTTTTGACTGCCAAATGTCAACTTTCTGGTTGCAAAATGAGTATGAAAGCATTACCTATTTTACAAGGTTATTAAGAAAATTACATGAGAATACGCTGTATAAATAAATTGTGTTTGTTTGTATACTGTAAAATATACAATTTATTTTGCTGGCAATATTTCCAAACACCATTCAAAATTTCCCTTTTCGGCTAACATAACTAGAAAGAAATACAAGGAAGAATTCATTTGGCCAAGTGTCAATGCTAAAGCGCTGTTTAGTGTCAAAATGACTAGGATCACTTCTTCTGCTTTTGGGCAACTATAGGAATTCAACTCTCAGTCTAAGAATCAGAGTATTTTCTATCAATTAAGAAAATATATATTGGAGAACAAACTGACAGCCCTTGCTGATTAAAGAATGCCTGCAAAATACTACAGTGCTGATTAATATTGGTAGCAGGCCTAGCCAAAGGCCAAAGTTAATTCAAAGCAAGTTTAAGAATCAAATAATTCTCATTAGTAGCTATTTTCTTCAATGTGTGAAATCACAAAAAGTGCATTGTGGGCACAATCACTTCTTTTCACATTAACTTAGCAATAGATTATTGAAAATTCATACTTGTATGTTACAGACATATCTTGGTGTGTTATTACTGCTTTGAACAGTCAAACCCTGCCCAGGTAATTACATTTCTAAACCGAACAAATACAGGCAATATCTTCAGTAAAGAATTGAGAACGACAGAGAGCATTAAAAAGCATGGCTATATTACAGTTAGGTAGTAAATGATAGAAGAATATAATGAATTGAACGTCACATCGAAGACAGTTTACTCGAAAAAAGAGAGTTACTGGACAAAAAACAGAATACACCTTTCTTTTTTTGCAACATTATTTCAAATGTTAGTGCTTTCACACACACATTTTCTTGTCTAGGGACGCTGGAGGGATTCTATCGGTGGGAATGACAGGCCTAACATCCAGATCCAACCCTTCCCTCTACCCTGAGTCTGTAGAGCTTCCACTTCGTCAGCACTAGTTTGCAAATTACGTGTGCAGGTTCCTCCCCCGCGCTGGGGCCCAAAAGAAAAAGCTCCCTTAGCAATACTGTCTTGATCACTCCACTACAAGGAAAGCGAAAAGCAGGCAACGTGGCGTATTTGCGAAATAAGGCGTGAAAACAACGGAGTAAAATAAAAACAGTTTACAGGAGACGTTGGGAGCTGCGGTCTCTTTAAATCCCTCCCTCGCTTCTCGCGGGGGGAGCTAAAGAGGGAAGTACACGTGGCTCTAAGCCACCCAGGACCCAGAGCTGGCCGGGTAGAACAAATGGACTGCGACCCGCGCCCGCTGGACGTTCCGGCCCTAGCGGGCGGCTGGGGTCTCCCTTTCCCGCATCTGCTCGGAGACGGTTGCGCGCGTCGCAAGGGGGCTGCATCCTCCCACCCGCCCGGCTCTGCCCCGACACTTACTCTTGTTGACGGTTTTGAGAGCGCGCGTGAAGTCACCGTTCTGGCCATAACGGTTCACTTCACTCCAAAGCGCAGGCACCGAAACCCCCCCACTGCCGCCGCTCGCCATCTTGGAGGAGAGGCGAGCCGACCTCTGCCCCGGAAGAGGATCTCGGAGGTGGGAAAGCAGAGAAGGAAGCCGGTGGTTGCTAAGCGTTTCGGAGTTCGAAGCGTCCCTATCCCGGAGTCAGCGTCGAAGACAGCGGTCGTAGTTCTTGTAGCTAGAAATTTGCGGAGATTGAGTTGGTACACCCTCTATAAAGCAGGTCTGGAGGAATGAGCCGCCGTACCCCAGGAGGAGGCTGAAAAGGATTCACAGAACAGATTCAGCTAAAAGTAGCGTGCGTTTCCGGGGCGACCGCTGGGGGCGGAGAAGTGTCCAGGTCTCTAAAGGCGGAGCGAGGCAGAGGTCTGTGGAAGATGAAAGGTCTATGGCGTGATAAAATACCAACTAGAAACTGTAGGGAACCATTTGAAAGAGTAGGAGAGAAGGGGGGAGAGAGAGAGACGGCTTCTTGCTGCCTGAGCATACTTCATAGAGGTATTGCTATTTGAAGGGGATCTTGAAAGGTGATTAGGAAAAAGGGTTAGTTTTGGGTCAAGTTCACGCAGAGAAGCGAGTATGAGGGGACGCACGGAAGAAAAGAATCAAGTGCAAAATAATTTGGTGAAAACCTTTTGTCTATCCTTTGTTTTGCATTTTGAGAGCAGTTAGCAGTAAGACCCGAAGGATAATGTGTTTTGAGGTGAGAATACCCAGGTTCAGTTCCTGGCTTTGTGACTCGCTACATGTTTCGCTTGTGAACGTTAATATTAGAGTCCCAGTTTTCCCGGCTGTAAAAATAGGGATAATATATCATTGTTCCAGGGATAAACGATACTTTTCATGCCTCCTGGCATAATAAGCCCTCAAGCAGACATGGGGGCGGGGTGGAGTTTTTGTAAGACTTTAAGATGTGTTTGAATGTCAGGACAGAATACTGTCGAATATTTTAATGTTTGTTATTTTTAAAATTTTTGTTTATTCATATAAGACCTGTGGCAGGTCTTAGTTGTGGCGGGGTGGGGGCTTCCGGTGTTTTCGTGGCGGGTGTATGGGATCTAGTTCCCTGACCAGGATCAAACCCAGCCCCCTGCATTGGGAGTTCCGTCTTTGCCACTGGATCACCAAGGGAAGACCTTGTTGGGTACTCTTGATGAGAATGACTGAACATTTTATTGAACGCCTAGCCTGCACTCATTTCTTGTCCCGATTCTACCGGTTCCTGCCACTGTCCTGCCCGCTCTTTGCCAGCAATCTAGCTCATTCTTTTTCATCCTTAAGTATTTCTGTTATCTTATCCGGTCCTAGGTTAAAAGTTACCTCTTTTGTCTTCGCAGACTGCAAGGTTCCTCATTACAGGCTCTAATGGAGTTCTCTACTTCTGAGCACTGCTCATTGTTTAAGGCCTTTCTCCGGATGGACTATATTTTTGTTTACTGTAGCATCCCTAGTATCTAGCCCACATCCTGGCATATAGTTGATACTCAACTTTTTAACTGAATGAGTTTTTGCTTATTTCTCCCCTGATCTGAGTTCCTTGTGAACAGAAACTATGTCCAGCTCATGGCCACTGCTATCTTTACTGTACCACATTGCTAGGTTAACAACTCTTCCCCAACTGTTTGAAGTTGTGAGGTTAAATGCAGAAAGCTCCACTGAGAGTAAGTTTTCATTGGCTTTCTGAGGACTGCTGGGCTGAAGATGGCAGGGAGAAACTGTGACTGTCCCATGGCATGGCATGTTTTATTTAAGTCACATCATGCTCTGTGCTTATTTTCCTATTTTTAGAGATTAAATCAGCTGAAGGGATATCAAATTCAAGGTAATTTTCATGGAACCAGTTCCACTCATTCTATCCTCTAGTCACCCAAATGGAATTTCTACATGATGCATTCATGTGCTAGGATGTACTTTACATACATTGACTCGTTTAATTCACATAATCACTTGAGATAGGTAGTATTAGTCCCACTTTACACATGAGGAAATGGAGGCACAAAAAATTTAAATAACTTGTTGAAGGTCACATCTTCTCAACTGGATAACTGGATACAGTTAACTTCTATTTTTTTCTTTTTTTTATTTCTTTACAGTTAACTTCTTAACCAATCTCCTCTAGTCCACATGACAGCAGAGAATGCTTTCAAACCTGTTGAATACATTGTGTCAGCTCCTGCTCAAACCTACCAATAGTTTTTCCTGTCACACTTCAGGGTGGCCCATAGACCCTTAGATCGTTTTTGTTTCCATCAACATTTCCTTCCACTCTTAATCCTTCCCTTGCCCACAGGGCTCCAGCAGTATTAGCATGTTTGCAGGTCCTCAAAAAGGCAAAGCTATTTTACTTTCTGTAGTCTGGGAAGCTACTTCCCTGAATCTTTGCATGGCTTGCTCTTCACATCCTGCCCTGCTTGCCTCAAACACATCCCTCATACCCAGTCTCCGCCCTCTTACCCTGGGTATTCTTCATGTGCGCTTATGCCTCCTTGCACCTATCCGCTTTATCTTTCATGGCTATCCCAAAGAAAATGTAAATTTTGTGAGGGTGAAGTCCTTGTCTCTGTTACTTTCCTAGGGCCTAGAAAAAGATCAGGCAAAACATGTATTTCACACATGGATAAATGAATAAAGCTTCGCACAAGAGCTTATCTTTGTCTTTTATTTGGATGCATTGTTTACATTTCAGAAGGCATTAAAGCAACAGCAATTTTAAGTGTGGCTTTATGATATAAACTAGTGAGTTATTTGGACACAGTTTTTCTCCCTCTTTTTAACTACAAGCCCACAAAGTCTAAACATCCAAAGATGGCAAACCAGGTAGGTTTGTGTAAGTTACTTTTTAGAACACAGTTAAAATACTTTTAAACAAGTATTTACTCTAGCGCTGATGAACTATACTATTGAGTATATATGTACTCTATTAAGAGACTAATGGTGAACATTATTATGACCCATTAATAAAGGTCAGTCCTGCACACCAGTCTCAATGTTTGACATTTTTATGTACTGCACAAGGACAGAGCTTTTGCTAGGTGGGACAGAAGAGCTGAAATAGCAGCCAACAAATATAACAACTATTCAGAGACCTTAAGAATCCCAAGTTCAAAGATGTTCAGATCAAATCTTTTTAATTGCTCTTGTGATCTAATGTGATCTAACTTAAGATAGAAAACTAAACAGGATATGATTTTTACAATTCCCCTAAGCAGGACATGATTTTTACAATTCCCCCCTTTCTAGCAGACAGCTAGGCATAGCACATCAGAGCATAAGACAAACAAACTGTAAAACTATATTTTCTCCTCTTTGGGAACTTAAATCCAACAGAGCAAGTACTTGCAGCCATTGTAGCTAGAGGAAGGCTTATTAGGGAAGATTTAACGCAGACAGTGAAGGTGAAGCCCTAGTAACTCGATTTTAATGACACACGAGGACATTCTAAGTCTGAAACTATGAGAAAAGCAAGTTCCCTTGATAGGTTACATCAGTGATTCTTAACCTACAGACTATGGACAGATTTCAAGGGAACCCAGGAACCAGTGGAACACACTGAGAAATTCTGTGCAATTTTCTAGACAGAGGATCAGCAGCATTCTTATTTTCAAAGGAGTCTATGTTGCAAAAGAAACTTATTTAAGAATTTGTTTTAGGTCTTTGGACAATCTTCAAAAAGGTTAGGTTGAGAATGAAGATCTTCTAGACCAGGCTAATAACAGAATTTGACCCTTGCTTGAGATTTTTGTAGATGATGGGTAAACGGTAAATTCAAGACTTGGTGATGAGTTAAAAATGAGAGGTCAGAGAAAACCATCAAGGGTAAAATTAAGCTTCTGATTTGGGACAGTGAGAATAGCCAGCTATAGGCTTGGAAAATGGGTTAAGTTTGGAGCATTCAGAGGAAAATGGAAAGCTGAAAATACAAGTCTACAGTGATTCACTATAAAGATGATTATTCTAGTACTATTTGTAAACAATGGACTGAACAGCAGGAAATACCAATAATTAAGTAAAAAGTAATATATGAGGAATGATCAAGACTGAGGTTGGAACAATTTGGTGTCTAGCCCAAGAAAAGGAATAATCAGGTCAGTTATACCCTAAAGAGATCATGTTAAGTAAGTGATAAGACGCTAGCTTGTTAACAGTTGAGGGGAAGGTGAAAAAGCACAGTGTAGGCCAGTGGCAAAAGTTTTCAGGACTTCATCTGTAGTGGAGACTCAGCACTGGGGGCTGGTGGGTGGGTAGGAAGGGAGGGACACAGATTAATTGGTAAAAACTGCCCTCTATTCAAAGTGAACATATACATAAATTTTTCCATGCAAGCTTAAGGGCTGTGTGGACACTTGGATAAAACTTTTAATGATCTGTAAAATTCCCAAGGATGCATAATGTAATACTGACTTCCAAATATGGTTTATAGACTCATGATGAACTGTAATACTTTTCAGTAACAACCTCCTTTAGAGGTGCATTTTGCTCGGTATACTGCCCAGGCTTAATACTATGAACAAGAAAGAAACTAGTTATGGTCATTAACTGGGAGATTCCAATTTCTGAAAATGATGGTAGGCTGGGAATTGTTAGTCTGAATACAATATATATTAGAATGAAAAGAATTTAATGACCTACAGAGCCTTGTAAGATTTATTAAATCTTTCATTGGCAATGATAAAGGTTAACTACTTTTTTTCCCATTGGAAATTGCCTTAACACTTAATGGAGAAGTTCTCAGAAGTTCTCTATATGGCTTCCTCAGTGCCCCTTCATCTTATTTATGTCTGTCTTAGCCCTAGCATCAATCTCGGCTTTGGTCAAAAAAAGGCAATATCAAACCCAGACTTCATCTCTACTCATAGCTAAATACAACATCATTTTCTGACATAGTGACTGCAAATAAAAAACCATGTCTTTAGAATTTTGTTAAGATCATACTGTGAAAAAGGCCTGTATTGTGTTTAACCACCCTAAGATACAACCATTTTACATTTCTAAAACTTATGGGCTGAGATGTAGAAAGTAATAACTTTAGAGCTCTGTAATAGGACATTATTAGCATTTAATAAATATAATTAATTATACTGTCTACCTAACAATGACCATATGTAGGTAACAGATTAATTTTGAATGTATAGTAATTTCACTACTTATAGAGAGACATTAATAAATATGTACACATTTTACTAATCCATGAATCGAGAAAAGCATTTATTCACTTACAAATTTTATTTTTCTCTCAATGATCTAAAATCTTTTCATCTTGATTTTTTTTTGGGGGGGGAGGCAGCTGAACTAGAAAATTATAGCTTTCCTCCTAAAAAAATGCAGTGATGTTCTTTCTTATAAATTGGCCTCTCTGATTTTCTTGTCAGCCTGCTTCAAGGAAATCCATGTGTTTAATACACTTGCTCGCAGTCGGGCCCAGATCAGATGGTTATTTAATCCAAATATCTGAGCAGCAAACTGAGCTGATCCTTCTGGAGAAAGGATGGTCGGGCAGCCAAGACCTATTGGTTCAGAAAAGATGCAACATTGAGCTGTAAGTTAGTAAAGTGAAAATACCACCTAGCAAACTATTTTATACTCTCAGAAGCCCCACCAGCCACAGACAATAAAGCTACTATATTATCCTTTTCTAAAGTAGGATCTGTGGATGGAGTTTCCATCTTTACTATCTGGAGTGATAAAGTGATAAATAATATTCATCGGCTAGGAACAGGTATTTTATATATAACTATCACTCTTCTCATTGAATCTACTTGCAAAGAAATTTACCTTTTGCAAAGTTCTTTTCATATATACTAGCCTTTAACTCCCTGGTAAAAGGCCAGCAGAAACAAAATAAGGCATGAGGCTAATTGGGTAGAATCATCTCTTCTTAGACAAACTTGAGGTACGCTGTTTTGGTAATTTTCTAGCTATTCCTTTTGTTTTTGCACTTGACTCATTCTAATAGTTTTAAGAAGCAATAAAAGTCAAATCCACAAAATAATTTTAAGAAATATTAGGTTATAAATTCAATACTAGTTCAGTAGATCTGTAAGACAGTAGAGTAAGTAACTTCTTAGGGGGCCACGCGCTGCTCAGGCTGAGTTTTGGTTTTTGAGCTAAAGCCGTGGCGGCCCTGTTTTCATTGGAGGACAGCTGCTTCACAATGGCCTGTGAGTCTCCGTTGTGCCGCAGGGAGTCAGTCACACGGACACACGGGTCTGCTTTTTCAGTCTCCCTCCCCCGTAGGTCGCCACAGACCACGGAGCAGCTTCCTGTGCTGCACAGTGGGTTCCCATTAGTCATCTGTTCTATACACAGCAGTGTACATGTGTCAGTCCTAACCTCCAGTTCATCCCATACCCCCTTCTCTCCCTGGTAACCAAGTAAGTTCATCAGGCAGTTTCTTGAGGTGGTACTATTATGCCATTAGAGTCAAGGACTAGATAGGTTACAGATCCAAAAGCTCCAATTGCCTTAAATACTCTTGGAATTTATCAGGCTCTTTGATTCTCATGATCCCCAATAAGAATAAAGTATAAATCACAAGGATATTTAATTTGTATTAATAACTCAAATTTATACAGACCCACTACTTACTACATAACTAATATCAGCCAAATTAATTTAAGAAAAGTCAGTACCTTCGGGAACATGTCAGAGGACAGATGTGAATGTGGTATTATGGTTATGATTTTAAAATTAGTCTTTATCACTTAGAAAATAAGTATTTAAGTATAAAATGCCATCATGTCTCAGATCTGCTTTACATAACGCAGCCAGGAGAGGACTACAGATGCAGCAAGATGTGAATTTCTGAAGCTGGGTAACAGGTATGTGAAATTTCATTATGTTATTCTCTCTACCATTGTGCATATTTGAAGCTTGTGAATTAAAGTTTATAGAAGATTCAGTTATCTTACCACTGGGTAATCGAAGAGAAGACCACACATCCTGAGCTCCCCAGTCTGGAGTGAGAGGAGGACAGCTGATAACTGGATATGCAGTGTTACCAGACAACACAGGCCCTAAACCATTGCTTCTGCCTGCCACTGCCACAAATACAGTAGGAATGCCATCCCCTAGGTAAACGACAAATTGTAATTACACTATGCACTCAAAAGAGATTTCAAGATAGTTTTTAAAAAAAGGGGTCCCTGTGTCGTAATCCCCTGAGTTCCTTTAACAGGAGTCTCTAGATAAAGCACTATATTAAGACACTATTATTAAATATATATTCAAAATACAAGGTTCATCCTGCCACTTACTGGATGTCAAGCAATGAAGTAGCAAGAATAGTTCTGACCATCTTTGAGATCTGTAGCATTAAGGCGGTGTTAACACACGGGTGTGAGAGAGGGAATGTTCAAAGGCCCCTGCTACCATTGCTGCTTTGGCTCACCGAAGCAAAGAATGACACCATCTGACCCGCAGGGTATGGGAGACACGCAGTTAACAGACGCTAGAGGTTGAGGGACACTTCTTAAGGAACTGAATTCAATAACAGAGTACCCAAATATTTAAGATTCTTCAATAAATTTTTTCTCACATCTCATAAACATCTTATTCTTTCATAAATTCATAAGTTATTTGTTTCCTACAGCAGTCTACTTGGAATCCAAAATTTTATGTTTGCATTTTTCTGGAGAGAAAGAGACCTGGTTTTTATTAGCTTATTGTAGGGGTCTGACCTCCACCCACCTCCCAAAAAAAGCTCTTAAAAATTCAATAACTGTACGCCTATAGCAACTACCTTTAGAAGGAATATACAACCAATATTTTCTCCAGTTGAGAATCATTCCAGTCTATAGGGCTCCTTATTTTAGATGCTATCCCATCAAGACACTTCTTTTATATACTAAATTCTGAAATTGTTCCTTCATTTCATGTTTGACTGTCTCCCAGGAAAGGCCGACCATCAGAGATGCCTGAGAGGACCTGCAGCGTCAACCCCAGCCCTTTCTTCTGCGGCTGATGTGAGGTCTACCTCTGTTACAGGGCACTAGAGGCACGGCTTGAGGGCCTTAGGTAAGGACCAATTCTAGTCTTCATTTCCCTCCCGCGCTTGCATTTCCAACTTTTCCTCTCTGATCCATTCTTTTATAAGCTCCTAGAGCACCTTAAAAATTCTGGAGGCAAACATCATCAAAGTTTAAAATTTTTTCCCTTAGAAATGCAGAAATTTATTTTTCAGCATTATTAGTCTAAACATAAAATTTTGGGGCAGAATCAGGAGAACTTCCTGAAATGCTCTATTTATTCAACATTTACCTTCATACTCAGCTTTAATCCTCAGAGTTTCATCTGGTCCTTTATGGGCAGAGGTGACCCTAAGTTCACATGGAATGCCAAAATTTCCACAAGCCCTCCTAATTTTTTCACAGTGATTAAGATCAGAGGTTGAGCCCATCAATACTATAACCCTGCACTGACTTTCTGGTTTCAGAAGCAACTGGAAAAGAAAAACATGAATATGCAAAAGAAGGCAAAGATAAAAATGGATAAATATGGGAATGAGTATTGTAAGAACAGTTTATTAAAATTACAACTTGACACAGTATTTCCGTTCTTAAGAGACCAAATTTAAGACAAGCAGAACAAAATGATAGAGGATTTATTTTTCAAAATAACCTCTCTATATAAAAGAAAGTGGCCTTCCTAATTAAGACCTAATGAGTAAGATTTTTAATCAGATAAATTATGTTTACTATTATAATAAAAAAACAATTAATATTCAGGAAGCTGTAAAACAGTTCATCAAAGATTTTTAGTACATTCTGTTTAACACGTTTTAAGCCAAGATAGAAGTCATGTTATAAATCTTTGCAAGCTAGCTGTGTGGAATTCAAAATGCACGTTCCCATGGAAATGATGTTCTAAAAAGTAGTTATTACTCTTGGATAACCATAAACCCCATTCAGTTTCCATGGAATTATAGCAATAATAAAAACATAAACTTTAAAGTGACATTTTAATGTCACATGGAATTCCAATTCTATACTCTTGCTAGGGACTCTGAGTAGCAACAGAAAGTGAGTAGGAAATGTAAGGTTCCCCTGCAGGGGACAAGGAGGAAAGGATTCCAGGTTTCTCAGTAGTATTTGGGAGTCAGACTGGCCAGTTTCACAGCAGGGGGTTCCAGTGTCCCAGTGAGGATAGTTCAGCTGGGACATTTTTTTAAAGTGCTCCCTTCTTTAAAAGTCATGGGAAAAAAGAAAAGCAATGAACCCTCTCACTTTTTTTCTTTCTGAAGCAAAATTTTCTTGGAGAAAAATACATAAGACATGAAAGGTTTACCTCCACTCTTTGTGCAACCCACTCAAAATTCTTCTTTACCATCTGCAGCCCTTCGGGAGTTACTTCCTTGAGATCACGGTATGACTAGAAAATAAGAAAGCTGAGAACATAGATACCAGACATGCATGAGCCCCCCACCCCAAACACCCAGCAACTACAGTCGGCAAGCAGAGCGGGTTCATTTGAGCCACCATTAGAGAGACTCATGACCTCTCACCCAATTCCCAGACCCAAGTCAGTTCAGAGAGCCAGAGTTTATTGACTGAAAAGGAGATTGGGTAAAGTATTCTACTAGTAATATTCTTCCTATCTGAAATGACTTGGTTTCTGAGTTTAGGGTACAGATTATGAAGTCTGCATAGCAAAAGATGTATCTGAAAAATATATCTGAGCCTACAAACTCATCTCTTGAATTAGACTAGAGAAGTTCAGATAGTGATGAGTTCTTGCAGTTTCATTCAAAGATAACTGCTTCCTACACGAGCAATTAGTAGCTGCCCTGACAGTTCTTACATATTAAGTATAGAGAAGATCTTGCCCTGGTTTTGTGAAGGAGAGAACAGAATTGGAGCCTGTAAGAGCTGTAAGACCTGGGGTAGACAGCAATCCCACTTCTGGGCATACACACCGAGGAAACCAGATCTGAAAGAGACACCTGCACCCCAATGTTCATCGCAGCACTGTTTATAATAGCCAGGACATGGAAGCAACCTCGATGCCCATCAGCAGACGAATGGATGAGGAAGCTGTGGTACATATACACCATGGAATATTACTCAGCCATTAAAAAGAATTCATTTGAATCAGTTCTAATGAGATGGATGAAACTGGAGCCCATTATACAGAGCGAAGTAAGCCAGAAAGATAAAGACCATTACAGTATACTAACACATATATATGGAATTTAGAAAGATGGTAACGATAACCCTATATGCAAAACAGAAAAAGAGATTCAGATGTATAGAACAGACTTGTGGACTCTGGGAGAAGGCGAGGGTGGGATGTTTCAAGAGAACAGCATCGAAACACGTATATTATCTAGGGTGAAACAGATCACCAGCCCAGGTTGGGAGCATGAGACAAGTGCTCGGGCCTGGTGCACTGGGAAGACGCAGAGGGATTGGGTGGAGAGGGAGGTGGGAGCGGGGACCAGGATGGGGAATACATGTAAATCCATGGCTAATTCATTTCAATGTATGACAAAAACCACTGCAATGATGTAAAGTAATTAGCCTCCAACTAATAAAAATAAATGGAAAAAAAAAAAAAAAGACCTGGGGTAGAGTTCTACGCCTGCTACTTGCTCTTTTATAAAGACTTTTATTTGCATTTTTTTTGGGGGGGGGGACAGCAATTATTCCCAGGGCTTAAGTCGTCGTTTCTTCAGGGTAACCCCCTCTTCTGGTTCAGGGACAACCTGTTCTTCTTCAGGAAGGATCATCTCAGTGTGGCAGGGAGAGCTCATGTATGGGATGATCTGACCGCTGTGCTCACTTGGATGTGCTCAATGACCAGAGAATCCACATCTAAGCTCTTAAGTTCAGCATTACCCTCTGCATTTTTGAGCATGTGCAGTAGAAATTCAGCACTCTTTTTGGGCCACTGACCCTGCGTCCAGCCCCACTGTTTGGCCTCAGCACACCTACCAACTCTACCATTGTAACGATGGATGACACATATAGCTTCCATAAAGGGACATCTTTCAGACTGGTGGCTTTTCAGATATGCATACCCTGGGCATTTTCATGAGTGTTCTTAACACGAAGATTTGAACCCCTTGATTTGCATGATTTTGTAGAGTTCTCTGGGTCAAGTGAATAGCAAACCATTTTTAGAGGTCACCTCAGGTCAGGCCACTTAGCAGAAAAGCCCTGTCACTTACTCTTATTATTTGTGAAGATATCTATAACCTCAGAGCCTTAGTTTTCAATTAATCAAAAAAGGGTAATATTTGCTCTGTGTGAGATAATAAATGAGAAATCTGCTTCATAAATGTAAAGTATTATACCTATCCTTTTCTCCAGGATATATTAGACATAGAAGATACTTATCTTTAAAAATAAATAGCAATCAACAACTCGGGCTCATGTCATCAGAAACAGTAAGTGCCTTTCCTTATCCTCCCATCTTCCCTCCCTCTTCTATCCCAGCCTGATCTTGCAAAGGATTTAAAAAAGCCAGAATCATCACCTACCTGTTTGTCTTTTTGCTGGGTTCGATCTCCTGACGGCCAGAGTCTCCAGGAATCATTATCAATAACATCAGCAAGAACAATTTCTCTGGTGGTTACATCAACCCCAAATTCAACCTACAACAGCACAGCAACAAGGAGGTTTTCAACACTAGACTGCTAAAGACACTTTCACTTATAATCTTCACTTTCAAATCTCCATTTTATTTGTACCTTCATATCAACTAGTGTACAGTTCTGGGGCAACCAGGATTTCTCCAGTATTTCAAAAATAGCCTGCGTAGCGTGACTCATGATATCCACTTCAGTTTGTCCTATAACAAGTCCAGCAAAGCAAAAATTTGCAGCAATTAGCTGTTCCTCAGACCACTGTGGATCATTATTGGCATCATCCTGAGAAAAAAGTATAGGAGTACAAGTAACTTAAATATAAAATATTTGAAATTTTCAGACAAATTGAGCATGATGAATTCCTCAGAAACATTCATTTTTGCTAAAGATTTAACTTTTGTTTAAAATACCCTCTAATTCACAACAATCATTTTAAACTTTTCTATTTTCAATAGCTACTTTAAGATTCAGTATTTTGGAGTAAAATTCTAAGTCATAAAGTACTTTTAAAGAATTTGTTTTCTCTATATAAATAATTTAAATAGAAGTTTATGATTTTTATTTTTTCTTAATCAGTCAACAGAGATAGTAAGAAGACCAAAACACATTCTACTCCAACAAAATCCTTGCAGAATACAACTTTCATAATCCCTTGACCTTACTTTTGGTAAGAATTTATACAAGACTATAAGTCTTCAAGAACATTACTCGATAGATAATTCAAGAGACTTCATACAATGTAATGAGATTGGTAAAAAAATAAAATAGTTTCATTTTATTCTAAGTAGTGTCCCAACTGTACATGAAGTTTTTCTTTTATGGATCTTGATTTATATAATTATAATCATAAGACAAATGCTTTAAACTGTGCAGTTCACTGATGCACAATGACACTACTTCTGAAATAGAATATGCTTAAAAGAATGAAAAGAGATGAAAAGAGAGAAGCAGTTTCAGTAAAGAAAACCAATACAAATTCATAACTATTGACTCCTACATCTTTTGTTGTATGATTCTGCTTAAAAGACACATTAACAACAATTTTCTGTATTAGAATATAAAAAGATCCCTCATATTAGCCTTCAACAGTAGATTTAAAAATTTACTGAATTGTTCCTTTTCTCTTCTTCCCAATAACTGCTACTTTCAATTTGTTCTTTTTATTCATCGCCTTGTTCCAATGTAAGATAAATAGATTTTCAAAGACATTTTCCTAAACTTTTGAATTATCATTACTAACTGAAGTGTACATTCTCCACAAATATTTCTGGAATGATAATTTTAGTATCAAAAACTTAAATAGAAAAAAATAAAGCTTAGATAGTATTTAAATCTTTTGACTCTGTGATAAACTTGTTGCTCAGTTACAGTAAGACAGGGAAGTATAAAATAATTACCTTAAAAAACATCTCCACTTTAGGTGGGTAGAACTTATATCCTTCCTTAACACCAGGATTTCTTTTGAGAAAAGATCCAGTTGCTATTCTTCTACAAACCCATTCAATTGGAATCATTTCACACTTCGGTGCAACGAAAGCTGTCTCCCCACATTTTCTGGTGAAAGCAGTTTTGATACCTACATATTGATAACAAAAAGAAAAAAAAAAGCATTAAAATTATGTTTAAAAAGTTAGATCTGAGGCATAATAAAACTCTACCATTTATAAAAAACAAAACAAAAACTCTGTGTAGGGAGGTGGGAGGGAGGTTCAAGAGAGAGGGGACATGCCAATACCAATGGCTGATTCATGTCAATATATGGCAGAAGCCAACACAATATTGTAAAGCAATTATCCTCCAATTAAAAAAAAAAATCCTGCATAGCTAAATGCACTATCCTTAAATGGCACTATCAAAAATAAATATAATTTTTTAAAGACAGGCAGAAGTAGGAAAAAAATTTTAATATGGCCTTCTACTGCCTATCAAAATATTCAGGAATATTTCATTTTACGTTGCAAGGCAAATTATATACGGATTCTAAAAATCTGAGTTCCAGTGTCTCTTCATTCATTCTTTCAAAAAATATTTGAGTGTCTCCTCTATCATTGTGCACCTAACTGCACAAGGCATGTAAGTACCTAAATGGCACTAAATTATCTCTGAATCAGATCCGGTGGCAGGACTGTCACATTCATTGGTCCAGTATTATATGGGCCTTATAAAATACTAATTTATCACAATCAGACACAGCCCTAAATTTTGGACAGCATTTTTCTCTTAATATTTAAAGCAAATAATCCTTGAAAAAGGCATTCAACAGGTACCAGCAGGAACGCAGTGACCAATCTGCCTAAAAGCAAAGAAAATATTTGTTCTTCCTCTCTTCTCTCTTTCTCAAACTGTTACTGGAAAACTAAGATAAACAGCTGCCTTGTGATGTTTGGACTGGGGCTACTTTATGTGGTGGCCTTGGAAAATAACTTCTCTAATAACAGTTACAATATATCATAAGCCATATGTTGCAGCAATTCCACATATACACATAAAGACTGAAAGCAGGGACTCAAACAGGTTGTCTGAACACCAGTGTTCACTATATTCACAGTGTTTTGGCTATTAACAGTAGCCAGAAGGGAGGAAAGGACCCAAGTGTCCAACAAGAGATGAGTGGAGTGGACAGACAAAGTGTAGTTACACAAGTGTATTACTGCTCAGTTACAAAAAGGAGGACATTCTGATACATGCTACCACATGGATGATTCGTGAAAACATTATGCCAAGTGAAGCGAAGGTTAGAACTGTAATGCTACTTACAGGAGGTACCTAAAGTAGGCAAATTCAGAGACAGAAAGTAGGACAGAGGTTACCGGGGGAGATTATTGTCTAATTGATCAGAGTTTCAGTCTGGAATGATGAAAAAGTTCTGGAAATTGACAGTGGCAATGAGTTGCACAACACCATCAACATACTTAAACGTCAGTGAATTGTACACTTAGAAACATGGTAAATTTTATGTGTGTATAAAATTTAACATGGTAAATTTTATGTGTGTATATTTTACCACAATTTGCACAACCTACCTTAGGTCAGGCACTATAAATTCGGTTTCTGTTTGCTTAATCCTCATGACACCTGATAAGGTGTGATGATCTTCCCAAGAAACAGGGGACACTGAGGCACAGTACTTATGGAGGCCACAACTAGGCAAGGTAGGGTTTCCAACCCACAGTCTGAACTCTGCAGGCTGCCTTACGCCATGCTCTCCTGGAGGTGTTACTGTATCATCACACTAATGTGAATTAAAATAAATCCTGGAAACCTGCATGGGTTTAACATAACTATGCTCATCTTTACGCTAAAATATTAGCTCCTCCAATCCCAATCTAAATCTCTAATAAGATCAAATTTTTATCATCAAAGGACTGAAGATCTTTGATCTTACATATGTATGTATCCACAGGTGAAGGGAACCTACATTTATGGAAACCTTCCATCATGCTAAGTGTTTTACATGTTATCTCATTTAACCATACATAAAATTTTTGAACTAGCTGCTAGCATTCACATTTTACAGTGAAAGAAGTAGAGGCTCACAGAAATAATTTAGTAGGTGAGGTCATGCTGCTAGTAAGTAATGGAGCCTGGACCTAAAATGCACTATCCAGTTCTGAAACCTGTACGATTTTCTTTGTATTCCCTCTGGGTTTGACCAGGAAGATTCAATTAAAACGGAAAAGAATAAACTATTCTATACTGTGTGGACAGGAACTCTGGGAAAGAATGTTAAAAGTGTATGTAAAATACTTGGGCCACTTTAAACTTTAACAAATGATTGGGCTCATAGGCAGTCAGGATTTTAAATCAATCCTTGACTTGAGGTGGTAACTACATAACTAGGTCTAAGAGCTCTTTTTACCCAGTAGTCATATTTGCTCATTGTCTACCAAGCTTTACAGGCTACAAATCTATTGCTTAAATATAAACAACAGTTACTGTAACTCAGAGGAAAGTCCTTCCCTGTATCTAAGGGAATCAAAATTACATAGAATCAACTTATGGTAGTCATACAAAAAAAATCTGCTTCTAAGAAAAAGGGATTCAGTTTAGATGGTATAATGATTGCTTCTAACACATACACAAAAGAACTTCCCCCATTAGTCTCAGTTGTTTACAAAATTCAAAACTCCTATCAAGACTACTAAGAAAATGTAAACATCACTTCACATTACGAATTACAACGTCCAAGTATGACAGCTAATCGCCCAGCTAATCCTGGCACCATCCCTGTATTAAGGTTCCAAGCTCCCCAACTGTGGTTTAACTGTGAGACTGTTAGTCATATCACTACTATCACATCTCAATGTAACCACAGTGGGTTTCTATGCAAGAAGGAACTGAAACATAAAAGGTTAACATTTGATTTTTAAGCACAGAGACTAAATCCAGGAACTTCAAAATTCCTGTATAAGCGTTAGTTCACTATATAGCATGTACAGTGTTATTTCCTATATCTATACCTATTACTTGTGCAGTCTTTTATAGTTTGTTCATGAGTGACAAAGAGAAAACTAGAATCCTGATTTACTGATTCTCATTTTGGTGCTTTTCTCATTCAAATTTCCAGAAATACCTTAATTTGGAACATATCCATGGTTATAAAGAAAGCAGTTTTAAACAGACCACTGACAGTCATCTAGACATAGCATTTAACAATTAGCAAGTAAAAACTGCATAAATAAGGCTTAAAAGAACTCTTAATCTGTACCCTAAAACTAACAATCTGTTACGAATTTTTAAAGCTTTTAGATTTGCCTTAATTTCACATTTAATTTGCCTCCATTTCAATATAATGGAGAAGGCAATGGCAACCCACTCCAGTACTCTTGCCTGGAAAATCCCACAGATGGAGGAACCCAGTAGGCTACAGTCCATGGAGTCACAGAAGAGTCAGATACGACTGAGCGACTTCACCTGCACGCACTGGAGAAGGCAATGGCAACCCACTCCAGTGTTCTTGCCTGGAGAATCCCAGGGATGGGGGAGCCTGGTGGGCTGCCGTCTATGGAGTCGCACAGAGTCGGACACAACTGAAGCGACTTAGCAGCAGCAGCAGCACAGTTATAAAACCTGGAAAGCACCTTTCCACACTTTCTGTGAACCAAGTAACTTTTAGGTATGTTCAGCATGCTAATGCTGGAGTACTTCATTTGTGTGACCAACTTTCCCAGCTGCATGCAGGCCTTTCAGAGTCAAACTGCATCACCCTAATTCACTCTCCTGAAGCCCTGGCAAGTATGCTGAATAGGTGTCATTAAATAAGCAAATAAAAGAACTCAGGCCTGTACATATCTTCCACCGCTTTAGTCCCATAGCTACGTACTACTATGGGGACACAGAAGCTAGTTATATTGTTAACAACTTACAGTGTTAAGCAACTATAAAAATTTTTAACATGTTCGGAGAGGAGATAACTTGTGAGGTTAAAAAAGGATCAAAGGATCACTTATCTGTACTGCAAGAGGAACCTAATACTACTTTGATGCTCTCTCTAGAAATCTACTCAGTTACTGGAAAACCACCACTCAAGGAAACCGTGAAGTAAAAATCCTGGGTTGCATTATTTAAGAACTGAGGGAAGTGCTTTAAAATTATGTAATATTTTTACCTTCAATGTATAGGTGATTTATGATATGGATGACAATTTAGGTTGGCAGTTAAACATACTTTTTTGTCACAGTAATTAAAAATGGGAAACAGGGTACTCTGGAAAAGGCAAAAGTACTCAAGCACGTATTCTATACTGATGGAAAGAATTTAACTTGAATTACCTTGTTTCTTTCACTCCAATTGCCCTCCACAGAATGTTTTGATCTGGATTTCATCTTTCAAATAGATTTCACTATTGGAAACAGTCTTTACTCAGTTTTAGAGTAGGAGGTAACCCTGGAGATCTTGATCTAGTCCAAATCCCTCAGGTGGGGAATGGCAGGATGAGAAGGTGTGGTTGTAGTCTTCAATTACTTTTCAGGGCTTTCAAGTGGAAGAGGGATTTGAAATTCTGTATTACCTCCAAGGGGCAGAGCAAATTTATGCACACAGACTTTTAGGGGTTAAATTCATCAATAAGAGCTGCCAAACACCAGAATATATTTCTTTTACAGGTTAAGTTCTTTAAGTTCCTTCATAGGTAAGCCTTTCCTAAGATGTCCTAGGAGAGGAAAGTTGCAGAGAAGATATACATGCAAGACAAAAACTGTAGCAATTTGTTGAAATTCCTCTTAACTAAATGAAACTACTTAGTAATTCCAAACCAAGTAAAGTGTTACAGTAATATTTAAATTTCTGGTTTAATTTAAATAAGTTTAGCATGTGAGGACCCCAGTGTTCATCGCAGCACTGTTTATAATAGCCAGGACATGGAAGCAACCTAGATGCCCATCAGCAGACGAAAGGATAAGGAAGCTGTGGTACATATACACCATGGAATATTACTCAGCCATTAAAAAGAATTCATTTGCATCAGTTCTAATAAGATGGATGAAACTGGAGCCCATTATACAGAGCGAAGTAAGCCAGAAAGATAAAGACCATTACAGTATACTAACACATATATATGGAATTTAGAAAGATGGTAATGATAACCCTATATGCAAAACAGAAAAACAGACACAGATGTACAGAACAGACTTTTGGACTCTGTGGGAGAAGGCGAGGGTGGGATGTTTCGAGAGAACAGCATCGAAACATGTATATTATCTATGGTGAAACAGATCACCAGCCCAGGTTGGATGCATGAGACAAGTGCTCGGACCTGGTGCACTGGGAAGACCCAGAGGGATCGGGTAGAGAGGGAGGTGGGAGGGGGGATCGGGATGGGGAATACATGTAAATCCATGGCTAATTCATGTCAATGTATGACAAAAACCACTACAATATTGTAAAGTAATTAGCCTCCAACTAATAAAAATAAATGAAAAAATAAATAAGTATAGCATGTGAGGCATCCCCAAACATGTTGTTAATCCAAATAACCTCCTTAAAGAGATCGGAGTGGTGTGTGTGAAAGGGGAGTCACTTACCTGCTTCCTAAAACAACTGGAAAAAAAATCAACTGGTAATCAACATCTTATCAACCCAAACAATGTCATTTCCCAATAAAAAGAACCAGTAAGTATACGTGAGAGAGACTACAAAGAGGGAGGCTCCTGGGAGAGCCACTCACCTGCTTCCTGTAACAACTGAAAAATACAGCTGGTAATTTTATTTGAGATTGCAGCTTTTCCTTCAAGGTGATTCTTTCTGGCTGCATTTCCTGCTGTAATCTGGTCCTTGGACTGCAGGAGGACTTTTCCTGGACTATCCAACAATTCATAGACTTCTTTTGTTTTACCCTCATAGAGTTTTTTACCAATCTTCAGTACTGTGGAAATAAAACGGAAACATGAGATCTCAGGAAATTTCATGCAAAAGATAATTGAGAAGATTAAATTATCTAGAATGATGAATCAGTATGCATACAGAACAATCGAATAATTTTAATAAAAAAATCATCTGCCTAGGTCTTTATGCCCTACAAAGTATTTTCAATGCACCATCACATTTCACCTGTACAATTTTGTCAAGAATTACAATTATGCAAATTATCATACAGATTAGGAAACTAAGTACCAAAAAGATGCCACATAGTTAAGAAATGGCAAAGCCAGAAAAAACCTCAAGTCTCCTGATATCTAATGGTACGCTGTGCTCTTTCCACCCTCAATTTTTCTCTCACAGTAGAAATGAAGTAGAATCAGTTAAGATACATTAAAATTAATGTGACAACTAGTAATTTCATATATATACTCATAATAGAATTAACTAAAATAGCTTGCAGGAGGAAATGCTATATTTTTCCCTACTTCTGTTTTCCATGGCAAGCAAATGGGCAAGTTCAACCAGATGGTCTTCTTGATTTCAAGTCAATGTGCAAGGAGGCACCTCCATCCACTGCAGTCAACTGACCCGGAAGCACTTCTATTTTTCTACTCCTGCTTCTCTACCCTTGAATTCCCCTCCTCACTAACAGTTACAGAAAACTGTGAGAAGTAAGGGCAAGAGCATCCAATTGATGCAGCTCATCAGACATCAAGAAAAGCAGACTTTGGTCACTAGAAAGAATGATTTTGATGAAGATCAGGGATAACGGGAAGTTTAAGGACTTAAAATTTCCAGGAAGAGAAACCACCACCCCTCATTCTTCCAGAACACTGAGTCATTCTCAGCATCTGCATTTTTCAGTGTCCATGTGCCAGGTACTAAGGATGTACCAGTAAACCATGTTCCTGCTCTCAGGTGGCCAGAGTCTGAGAGAAGCTGAAATTAACCATCATAGTAAGTACAATGTACACAGAGTGTGGGATCACAGGTTCAGAGCAGGACCACTTAACCTAACCTCTGTCATCTAGAACAAAGGGTTAGGCTGAGATCTGAGGCACAGTCAAGGGGTAGGGAGCGGCAGTGAAAGGCCAGGCTGTGAGAGAGTGCATGGCAGAACTTCAGCATGTTTGCAACACTGCGTGTGTGTACACACCTGCTGGGCAGAGAAGGGGGTGGGGGCAGCAGCTGAGAAGTTGAAGGAAAGGCAGGAGATAAACCTGAAGAAGGGACAGAGGTCACATCAACAGGAAGTGATGATAACCATTAAATGAGACAGTTACAACTCAGTTCAATGGCTGCATCTGCAGGGTACATAATTCAGAGGACAAATCCTCATCCTCTTATTGTAATGTCTTAATTCACTGACAAGGTTTAAAAGGTCCTTCCAAGATGTAGCACTAGCTTAGTGCTCCAAATTCAGATTTCTTTATTCCCTTCCTAGAACCCTAACTGCACTCAATATGCCAGCAAATTTGGAAAACTCAGCAGTGGCCACAGGACTGGAAAAGGTCAGTTTTCATTCCAATCCCAAAGAAAGGCAATGCCAAAGAATGCTCAAGTTACCACACAATTACTCATCTCACACGCTAGTAAAGTAATGCTCAAAATTCTCCAAGCCAGGCTTCAACAGTACGTGAACTGTGAAAATTCCAGATGTTCAGCTGGATTTAGAAAAGGCTGAGGAACTAGAGATCAAACTGCCAACATCTACTGGATCATTGGAAAAGCAAGAGAATTCCAGAAAAACATCAATTTCTGCTTCATTGACTATGCCAAAGCCTTTGACTGTGTGGATCACAACAAAGTGTGGAAAATTCTTAAAGAGATGGGAATACCAGACCACCTGACCTGCCTCTTGAGAAATCTGTATGCAGGTCAGGAAGCAACAGTTAGAACTGGACATGGATCAACAGACTGGTTCCAAATCGGGAAAGGAGTACGTCAAGGCTGTATATTGTCACCCTGCTTATTTAACTTACATGCAGAGTACATCATGAGTTCATCATGGGTGAAGCATAAGCTGAAATCAAGATTGCTGGGAGAAACATCACTAACCTCAGATATGCAGATGACACCACCCTTACAGCAGAAAGTGAAGAAGAACTAAAGAGCCTCTTGATGTAAGTGAAAGGGGAGAGTGAAAAAGTTGGCTTAAAACTCAACATTCAGAAAACTAAGATCATGGCATCTGGTCCCATCACTTCATGGCAAACAGACGGGGAAGCAATGGAAACAGTGATAGACTTTATTTTTTGGGGCTCCAAAATCACTGCAGATGGTGACTGGAGTCTTGAAATTAAAAGACACTTGCTCCTTGGAAGAAAAGTTATGACCAACCTAGACAGCATATTAAAAGGCAGAGGTGTTACTTTGCCAACAAAGGTCCGTCTAGTCAAAGCTATGGTTTTTTCCAGTGGTCATGTATGGATGTGAGAGCTGGACTATAAAGAAAGCTGAGCACCGAAGAATTGATGCTTTTGAACTGTGGTGTTGGAGAAGACTCTTGAGAGTCCCTTGGACTGCAAGGAGATCCAACCAGTCCATCCTAAAGGAAATCAGTCCTGAATATTCATTGGAAGGACTGATGCTGAAGCTGAAACTCCTGATACTTTGGCCACCTGATGCGAAGAGCTGACTCATCTGAAAAGACCCTGATGCTGGGAAAGACTGAAGGCGGGAGGAGAAGGGGACGACAGAAGATGAGATGGTTGGATGGCATCACCGACTCGATGGACAGGAGTTTGAGTAAACTCCGGGCGTTGGTGATGGACAGGGAGTTCTGGCGTGCTGCAGTCCATGGGGTCGCAAAGAGTCGGACACGCCTGAGCAACTGAACTGAACTGAGAACCTAACTTCCTGTAATCTCTAAATCCTCCTCTCAGGCTCCCGACATGCTCCTCCGTAGGCCTGAACACTGTTTCCTCCACTTCCATTCCACTACTCATCTCCTTTAGATCTCACAAGCCATGCTGGTTGAGTTTAGACCTTATCCTGAGAACAACCATAAAGGTTAAACACATCAGTAAAATGGAAGATGTCTGTTACAGAGACCATTATGGCTGCTGTGTGGAGAATGAGATGAGGCAGGGGTGGGTGGAAGAAAACTACCGACGGACAGACCAGTTAGGATGCTGTAGCAGCAAGCCAGGTGACAAATAACCTGGGCTAAAGAAAAAAATGTGGGATAAGTAAGACTCAAGCTATTTAAAAGCTAAAAGTTTTAATAACAACTGATTCAATCTGGGCGATAAAAGGGAAAGTTCAAGATGGTGCCTAGGTTAGATAAAAAGAAGTCTGTACTCAGTGCTACTCCCTCTCAATTCAGCTGAATCTGCATTTATTTATTTATGTCCATACCACTGTGGCTCATGGAATCTTAGTTTGCCTAACTGCCCCCTGCAATGGAAGCATGGAGTTCTAACCACTGGGTCATTAGGGAATCCCCTGAATCATTATTTATTACCTACTTGCACCTCTATCCATTAATAGAAATAACATAACATCATAGAAGACAATTGCTACCACTGTCAAAATGCTTGCTATAAATTCACAGATGAATTCAAAAGAGACTGACGAGGACTGAGAATAATTCATGGAATTGAAATTTAAGAGTACTTTAAAGTACAGAACTTCCGTAAAAAGATAAGAACATCTAGGATGGTGCTGTCCAATAAAGGTACCCACTAGCCACAGGTGCCTATGAAACATCTGAAATGTGGCTACTCCAAATTGAGATGATGTAAGTGTAAAATACACAGTGGATTTCAATATTTTTTTAAAAACTAGCAAAAATCACAATTTTTATATTGATTATGTGTTGAAATGGTACTACTTGGGATATAGTTAATCAGTAAAAATAGTACAAACTCTCTTTCCTAAGGATCCTAATCACGCATGGACAAAACAATTATATATAAATATGTAACATGATAAATGCACAGCGAAGCAAGAAATTTTTTGCCTGGTGGTTTTGGAACTCTCATTGGCATAAAATGGCTAAAAACAAAATCTCGACAGGAAATAGAAAATTTTTCAGAAGGTTCAGTTATTAACTTTCTGAAACAGGTTATTATTAACCTAAAGGGAAAAGCAAGACTTTGGTTTCGGGAGTCAACATTAGATGTTCCTGCGTTTGTTTTGCAATACCTATTGATTGCAAACGCGAATTGCAGGTATCTCTCCAACTTCTGGCCATCTCTCGTTCCAATGACCCTTTGCGCCTTTTCCTCATTCCATGAGAAGTTCTGGATGTTACCGAAAGTTCGGAGGCCCCGGAGCGCTTTGTTTCCAACGCACCGCTTGGCAGCGTCAGGGACACGTGCCCGCGCGTCCAGTGGCCTAGAGAGGCGCGCGCAGGAAGACGGGGCACAGTTCGGGGAAGGATGCCGTGGGGAGCCAGGGAGAGCGCACAGGCCAGCGTGAGAGAGGCGGGAAGACCGCGGAGTCCCAACTCCTGAGGACGCCAGTTAACTCACCTTCGACTGCCGCCATTGTCCGGAGTGGTACGGGGGCTTCGGCCGCGCTGGGAAGAGACGCAGAACTCTGGAAAAAAAGCGCGATCAGAGAGGCTCACGGGGCAGGGGAGGGAGGCACCGCCCACAGACACGCCCCTGGCAGGGCCGCATGACCCATAGCGCCCCCTCCGGGTCTCTTCGAACATCGCCGCGGCCACGGAACATCGGGGGTCCCTAACCTACCCAGAGGAACCTACCCGGGAGCAAGGCTTCCCGCTGCGCAGGCGCAGAGACGCGCCCCCCCCTCCCCCCGGCCCCGCCCCGCGCGGGCGCAGTTCCTGGAAAGAGAAAAATGGCGCGCACCGGCGGCCCCTCCCCACTTTGCTGCCCCTCGCTGACCGGGCCCCCTCCTCGCCAGAGAGTGCGGGGGTCAGAAGTTGGAGCATACCAAGTAGTGACGGCTCGGGGGAAAGCATATGAGGAGGGACATACAAAGTGTATATCCTCTGGGAGAGAAATGACATTAACCCCGTAAGTCCCACCACCTTCGTCTTAGGTGCTAGAAAATAACTGAGAGTTCCACGTGCAGAAAAATTATCCTCCAACAGGCCTCAGGAGGAGGGCTAGCTCCACCCCCACAGGGCCCGTGGCTCCGCCCCTCAGCCGCGGGGCCTCGCCCTCCGCCCTCGCTCATTGGCGGGCCCGGAGGGGCGGGGCAGAGTGCCGGGGGGCCGACAAATCCCTCTCACTGAGGGGAGAGAACGCGCCGCCGCAGTAGCGAGGGTCGAGCCGCTGCGAAGAGAGCGGCTGTCCCCGGCCCCAGCTTCGGAGGCTTCCAGGCCGAACAGTCTACTGGTTGGTGCTCAGACCCCTGGCGCCGCAGCGGGTCCCACCACGTGTTTTCGGCGGCGACATGGAGCTGGAGGAGTTGGGGATCCGAGAGGAATGTGGCGTGTTCGGGTGCATCGCCTCAGGAGAGTGGCCCACGCAGTTAGACGTGCCGCATGTGATTACTCTGGGACTCGTGGGGCTGCAGCACCGGTGAGCGACTGGGTGAGGGGTGGGGATGGCGGCTCGTGTTCTCCTCCATCTGCCCGATCCGCTTCCCGCGGCCGGAGTTGGCGACCTCGCGGGCGCCTGAGAACCAGGGACCGGACCTCTCTCTTACCTGGACTGGTACCTTCCTGTGGCATCCACCAGATTGCCAAGGCGTGAGCCGGGGCTCTCTTGTCTCCCTGGACTTCGGCCTGTGCCCCGCCACCCTTAACGGTCTTTTAGGGGCTCTCCGCGTTTCCGTGTAGTGCACCCCTCCTGGATCTGACCAGATTGTAAGGCTCCAGTCGGCTGGACATGCCCAGTCGGGGTTCTTCCTCTTCTACTTGCGCGTTTTTTGATCTCCCAGAGCCTGAAGCTGCTCTTGTGATAAAACTGTGTGTGGGGTGTTTGCTAGTCCTGGACCTACAACACTCTGAGGTTTCGCGGGGAGCCTGCAACCACCACAAGCTTTTGTTTGCAAGAACAGAGCTATTGGGCAGATGGTGTATTTGAACGAAGTCATAGCTATGGGAACGTAAGGATTCAAACCCGGGGAAGCTGAATCGGTTGGTGGTCAAAAGGAACTACCGGTTCTAGATCTCATGAATTCCAACAGACAATAATTCAATCGCGGAGGAATAGTGCATGTGCAAAAAATTCTTTGGTAAACATTTTAGATAATGAATGAAAAGATTAGTAGTAAGAAAATGCCAAAATGATTCCCTTCTTTAAAAGAGGGAGAGAATAGTTCCTGTATGACAAGATACACATTGACTTTGAAAAACTGATAGATCCTTTGAGTTAAAAAATAACTTTGCTTCTGTGATCTTTCCATTTCCTACTAACTGAACTAAGTTTTAATATAAACAGTTTTCTTAAGGGTAAAAAATAGAAACCTAAGTTTGACATCACTGAAAGTATTACAAAGTTTCTATAAGAGGATACCTCAGCAACAACTTCTAGAACAGTTAAGGAACTTGGTGATAACACTTATCAGCAATATGGGAGAAATATGTATAAATGCATTCTAAATGATTAGCTTTCCCTCCACCAAATTTAAACTAGAAGTAGGCTTTTTGCATTTTTCAGAATCCAGAATAGTTGGGTTTGAGTTTCACATCTTGTATATTCTTGTTTACTAAACGCTGAGAGTAATTTAGAATTCTAGGATGAATCAAATATTTTTAATTTGAATTAATTTTGGATAATTGTGGGTTGAGCATAATAGAGATCTTATTTTAAAATACATTTATGTTATTGAGAGGATTATATATATAAGCCAAGGAAAAACTAAAAGCTATTCATATGGTACTCCATAACAACATGAATTTATAACATTCTTCAGAGAAGTTATTTTGGATATCCTGTCATGGGAAGAGGTGTACAAACACAAGAGATCTTTAGAGTTGCCTGGTGGTCTGTGAGGAAGATATGAAACTGACCTTGAGTTTTTTTTTTTAACTATTTACTATTTTAGTTAACTCAGAAAGTTCATCCCCAAGATCTCCTATTTAAATGTGTGTGTAAAGAAAAGGAAGGTGATTTTTTTTATGAATAACTTTATTCCTAATTATATGCACTTCTCTACAATTGCTTCCAAGTGAAAGAATTAATGAGATTAGATAATATTGATACAAGCTAAGGGCAATAAAAATGTGATTATTACATGATGATAGAGAAAACTAAATGGATTCTATCAGGCTGCTTATTTGACAGAGCAAGTATTTGCTAAACTGTGGTGTTGAAGATTGACCTTGTGATACTTTCAGTAACAGCGGCAAAAAACCCAATAGCTTCTGAGAAGAAAGGTATTAGTGGAAAACCATTTAAATTTTCCTTATGTAGGCATAGGATCTGGAGAAGGCAATGGCACCCCACTCCAGTACTCTTGCCTGGAAAATCCCATGGATGGAGGAGCCTGGTAGGCTGCAGTCCATGGGGTCGCTAAGAGTCAGACACGACTGAGTGACTTCACTTTCACTTTTCACCTTCATGCATTGAAGAAGGCAATGGCAACCCACTCCAGTGTTCTTGCCTGGAGAATCCCAGGGACGGGGGAGCCTGGTGGGCTGCCGTCTATGGGGTTGCACAGAGTCAGACACAACTGAAGTTACTTAGCAGCAGCAGCAGCAGCAGGTATAGAATCAAGATTCTTTGAGAGCACTGGTTCTTGCCCATAATCCTATCCAATTCACAATTTTAGATTAGCAAAAGTCCTCACACATTGGGGGAACTGATTCTAAGAATATGAAACTTCTTTATGTCTAGAAGATAAAATCTGCTGCTATAGGGGTAAAAGATTAAGAAATAATGTTTTTAATAGAATGGATAACAACTACATGGTCCTCCTGTATAGCACAGGACACTATATTACATATCTTATGATACCATAATGGAAAAGAATATGAAAAAGAATGTAATAAATATAGCTGAATCACTTTGCTGAACAGCAGAAATTAATCTAACATTGTAAGTCAACTATACTTCAATAAAATAAATTTTTCAAAAAACGTTTTCATTTGACAGTAGATCAAGGAATGTCAAAATTGGAAGCCTAGATGGGTTATAATTTAATATCGAGTTAGTTATATACAGTGTACATTGGCAGGTGGTGGTCTATTGCAGAAGGCTCTAGAAACTGAAATGTCTATCACTTTTGCATTGTTTTTGGTTCTCTCTCAGGCAGAGATATTTAGTGTCAGGGATGACAGAACCCCTGAAAGTTGTGGTGTTATGTATTTTATATATAAAAACAAATGGAATATCAATTACTGGACAGTCATGCACTGGATGCTTAATCCAGATGGGTTCATCCAGAAGTCCTTCTTTTTTAGTAGTCTGGCTATTTGCAGATTTATACCATAACTCTGTTTTTTGTCAGGGGGAATTTTCAGTGTTAACCTAATTGGTTGTCCTCATCAGCTATAAAGCTGTGTGTGTTTGCTTGTTCATGTCAGATAATTATAATCAAGTACTTTTTCGGACCTAAAAACATCAATGAGTTCTGAGGTTTGCAGAGTTGGAACAAACCATACACCCCATTGTAGATTAGAGATCTTTATCTTTAAACCACAGTCACAGTTTATGGAGACCAGAATGACATGGACATATTTGAAGATTCCATAAAAGGAATTAGTTAAATTTCATACATTTATCACATGAATCAGCTAGTTAGCCTTTCCTTGGTTAGTTAGGGGACAAAAATGCCCTTCAGTGAATTATCATTTTCCTGTGTTAGGAATTGAACCCTACAACTGGTAAATATTTTCATACCTTTTCTAAAAATTTATGACATTTACCTGATGAAGTTGAGTCACGAAGGTAGTCTCCTGACTGCAGAAATATTCTGAAGAATCTTTTGGTTCTGTTGTTCTTTGAGGAAACTGATTTGCAGCGATCTCAGAAGCAGTTTTCTTAAGAGATACAGATGCCGGTTCTGCAAAAAGTATATAACATATCACTAGAAAGGCACTCGGGAGGTAGAGGGGAGGGATGCACTCAGACAAACCTATGGAATTTGTTCCCAGTTGTCTTCATTTAGTTTGTTGGGAAACCCAGGAGTAGATTATCAGAGAACTTGCTTTGAATTGCCATATTAAGGCTGGGGTTAACTTTTTTATTTTTATCTCTTAGAAATAATAGCCAAACAAGTTACATTCCGCTAGTGTTTTACATTCCCCTAGTTGGAAAAGTGCCTTATCCCCCAAAGGATCTTAATGTACTACTGCTTTGTCATTCTGGGTTGGGAACAGCCTCTTTAACAGAAGACTTGAAGTCTGCCTGGTTTCCTAGTAGTAGTTTGATGTTGGGAAAGTGTCCTAATTTCTGACTGTTTCTCACCTGTTGGGCTAGACTTGTATATTTTAAAGGTCCGGTGCACAAATTCAGTGCATTGGGAATGATACTTTCATGTGGTTAATCCTTAGCAGTTTCCCTTTTCAGTTGCACATCCATTAAAGGGCATTGAGAGAAGGAAAACATGAGGCAACTCATCTGATTTGTAATTTATGTCAAAAAATGGAGGATAAAATTTACAGCTTTCGTGAGATATAAGTGGTGTTGGGCAGGGTTGGGGAGAGTGGAGTCCTGCTCTTCTCTAATACTTTATTCGAAAAATACTTGTTGAGCTCTTCCTGTGTGTATGCAAGGCCCGTGGTGGACACTAGGGATACTGTACTACACAAGGCTGATGTGGTCCCTGCCCCCACGGAGAGGCAGCGGAGCAACTGGTTCAACAGAGCCGACTTGTTCATGCCTCCATGTCCTGCTCTGTAAATGGGAATAGTGGAATCACTTACTTCATTGAGTGGTAGTCGCGATTAAATGTATTGATATGTAACTTGCTTAGAACACTACCTGGATATATGCATACCCTGTGGCCTTGCATCCCACTGCTGGGTATGTACTCAACAGAGATGCATACATGTGTTTATTGGAAGACATGCACAGAAATTT